AAAAAACACAAAAAAGGAAACTGGGTGACTCTTCATTTTCTTATTCAACTACGTTTTTTTTTTTTTTTTTTTCTTAACAAAATGTGAACCCGTTCACATTTTGTACTTGCAAAGAGGTGGCTCCTTTCGCATGTTTCTCCATTCGAATGGTTTGTTACAGTTTTGCTATTTTTACGTTTACGTTTATGCTTCTTTTTATCTTTATGTTTCTTTTTATTTTTATGCTTCTTTTTATGTTTATGCTTGTTTTTATTTTTATGTTTGTATTTATGTTTATTTTTATTTTTTGCATTTTTCTCTGTTAGCAAACTGACAAGCGCAAAATTTTGGAAGAAAATTCACCGGCTCGTTTGAGGCAAAAGGGTGATATGATATATGAGACACAATACTCCATCTTGTGCAATCATATATGGGGGGCACAAGTTAAAATTTTTCTTTTTTTATATATATTCCTCATTTCCCTTGTTTATACCACGAAGTCATTAAAATGGTGGAAATAAGACTGAAAACGAAAAGCTCGAGCTGTGAGTTTCACCTGAATTTTAACGAAATTAAACTCCCTGACGATATAAACATTTTGAAGGATCTGGAAAAAGAAGTTGAAAACTCCATTTATCATTTAAAAAGATCGAATGAAGAGATCAAGCAGTTCGACCCAGAATGTACCGATCATGATCTCTTCTTAGCATTAAATGAGAATAAATTTTCGTTAAGTAGAAAAGAGGAACGTCTCAAATTAATTAAGGCTAAGATACAGGATTTAGAACCCATATCGATTGATTCTGTGGGGGCAAAAAATGTTATCACTTCTCCATTGCTCAGTAGAACGGGAGAAACGCAACAAATGGGGATTTCAGATCTACCAATTAGGCATTTGAATTTGAATGAGAAGAACAATGAGTTAGGAGATGACAATGAGTTAGGAGATGACAATGAGTTAGGAGATGACAATGAGTTAGGAGATGACAAGGGGTTAGGAGATGACAAGGGGTTAGGAGATGACAAGGGGTTAGGAGATGACAAGGGGTTAGGAGATGACAAGGGGTTAGGAGATGACAAGGGGTTAGGAGATGACAAGGGGTTAGGAGATGACAAGGGGTTAGGAGATAACAATGGGTTAGTAACTTGTCGCGTGAATAGTGAGGACCACATGGGTGCTCCGGTTTCATATGTTGCTGATGCAGACAATAAGGAGAAATCAGGTTTCTCTTCAAGTTCAGTTGGGACAGGTGGTATTTATTTGTAAGTGTGCACATAAGTGTACCTACGTGTGCTCTTCTTGCACAGTATTGTCATTTATGCATATAATGCTTTTATCAAAATTAATATCTTTCCTCCTCCTCCTCTCTATTATATTAACGGAAGTTTTTTCAATCGGAAGCTTGTTCTATCGTGAAGGGGAAATGGAAAAGTAACCCCAATCTGCAGAACATACCAGTTTATTATTTTGTTATTTTTTGTTGCACTCGATCACGTGTAAAAACATTTCTTTGTTAAATTTTATTTTATTTTTTTTTTTTTTCTCAAGTCAAGACCTGGACATGTTGGGAAGAAGAATATGTGTTTCAAATAAATTCAAATTTGTAACTTTTACTACCATCGGACTCAACCTTGGATTTGAGGCCCTTTTTTTTTTTTCCCCTCCTTTTGCATAGTTGATTGAAGCTGTGTGCCCCGCTTCAAATGTTTGCAAGTACATAAATATATGCATGTGTTGTATGTAGACACCTTTCCCATTGAATGATTGTACGATTTGACAACCAATTTGAAGGGCTTTTTTTTTTTTTTTTTTTTTTTTTTCGTTATTTCACAAAAGGGAACATAATATATGTGCGAAAAGGCAACAATATATGTGTCCAATAAAAAAAAAAAAAGGAAAGAAAAAGCTTTAAAAGGTTTAAAATTTGTTGTCCATAAAAAAACATATCATTTCTCAAAACATATCACTCCTTAACGCATATTACTGCTTAAAACATAACATCAAAAAACATAGTTAAAAATGTGTATGATATGTAACACTGTAGGAAGAAGTATAACACTTCAAAGGCTAAAACGAAGGAAAAGAAAAAGGCGAAAACGCCACTAGTCATTGTTGCCAGGATTAATTTCATGAGTTCTCCAAAAACGCAGAAAGCCATGAGTGGTCGAACAGCCTTAAAAAAAAAAAAAAAAAAAAAAAAAAAAAAAAACACATACAAATATGAGTACAGGTACAAGCACAAGTGCTTTCACACATCTCTATAGATTTCCTCGCGACCTACCTGAAATGTCGTCCTAGCCATGTAAATAAAAAAAAAGCGATAACTCAAAATATACTTCAAAGTAAATTTTGTCATGTCCAAAAGGCTGACATAATGATTTAAGGCTGGTAAACTTTTCATCAATTTGAAGGGAGTGATGTCTTCTCTTAATCTTTCATTGTAATACTTATACAAGTCCTTTTTCTCATTCATACTTGATTTACTTACTGTTTTGCTCGTTCCATATCTTTTCGAGAGGCAGCCCATGGCCTAATAAAATGTGTGCGGTGGGTGGGCGTATATATGTGTGTATCAGGATATTGTCGAGGGGGGGGGAATATAAAATAGTAATGTTCCTCATTTTTCGATGCGCATCTTTTGCTGTGCTCATCTTTATGCTAAGTTTATCTTCTACGTTCAGGTTTTAATTTTCCTTACACATAAATATGTCTTGTGTGTGTTCAGAACGAGTGCATTGTCTCGCCACAGGTGCGGGCCTATCCTGCTGTTAGGGAAGGATGTATGTTGTGTGCAAGCGTGTGTGTAAGTGGTGGGTTGAGGTCAAATAGGGAAGAGAACAGACCGGTTAATAAACTGAATGCCATGAGAATATCATGCGAGTGTCACGTTAGTGGTATGTACCTCAACCAATTGTTTCTCTTACCCTCCAACTAACTTCCCGAAAACTTTTCCACTCATCTTTTCAAGTGAAGTAGTTTTCCTTATGGACTCATTTATGTTTTTGTACTCTCTTAAAAAAAAAAAAAAAAAACTGATCTTGTTACATATCACATGTGCGAGCGGGAGTGAAGTAGTTAATTCATTAAAATGAAAGAATGCAAAGATTGGTGTAACATGCAAAAGTGCAATAATACCATGAACAAGGTATACTTTAGCACTTTAATGAGTTAAACTCGTGACATGAGCATTTTTTTTTTTTTTTCTATCATTTGGAAAAAATTAGTAATGGCTTAAATGTAAAACATATATGAAATGAAAAAGAATTATAAATATAAAAAAAAAAAAAAAAAAAAAAAAAAAAAAAAAAAAGGAAAAAGAAGAAACCCTATGTTAAGAGGGAGTGTGCGACAGAAGAGAGGGTAGGTGGGAGGGAATCCATTACAAAAGTAAAAAGAGTGCTTATAAATAAAGAGCCCAAAAAAAAAAAAAAAAATAAAGAAAGAAATAAATAAGGAAATAATAAAAGTATGAAAATACAAAATCGTGTAAGATATATGTGCCCTGAAAAAATGAAGTGTATTTTTATTAAGCACTTCCCTGGCATTCATGTGTATATGCGACGAAAACAGGTTATAAACACATTGGAAAAAAAAAAAAAAAAAAACGAAACTGTGTAGAAGTCAACCCATTTGAACATAACTATAATTCATGCGACACTATGTATGTATATATATATATATATATATACATACCAGACTGTGCAATAGGGAAAAGTAAAAAAAAAAAAAAAAAAAAGTTCAAAAAATGGAAAAGATTTTCTTCTATTAGTATGTACACCCATTTTCTACAAGTTTGTCGTTGGTCTGGTTAGTCTAAAACAAAAGAGGGGAAAAAAAAAAAAAAAAAAAGGGGCATATGTAATATGACACATATATAACAATAAAATGGGGTAATAAAAAAAAAAAAAAAAAAAAAAAACAGGTAACAAAATGACTCACAAAACTGATACTGCAAACCGAAACACCGATTTAATAACATAGAAAAAGAGGAAGAAAAAAAATGATTTGCTAATCAGGGAATTCACAGACTAATGACAACATAAGGACAGGCAAAATGAATACATAAAAGAGCATTCTTTATTAGGACCAAAGGGACTTTTATACATTTAAGATACGCATGTTTTACCATAACCAATTAAAGTACAAGTGCAAACGCAAGTACAAATACAAATGCAAATACAAGTGCCAGTATCCATGTGTGTACGCATATTCATGTTTTACACGCAATAGTCTATTTCCCCTTACAGACAAATGGTCAATAACTCGGTTTGGTTTACATATGTCTCACGTGGATTAGCCTAGTCTAATACAACATACAGTATTTTCATTTCTCAGTATAGATAAATTAACAAAGGGAAAAAAAAAAAAGTAAAATAAAATAAAAGAACAACAACACTCCAGTTTTTCTAACACCAGTTGTATCTTTACCTTTGTGTGAGAATGTGTTCCCATAAGGGAAATAACAAAAAACAAAATAAAAATATTTTGCTTCTTCGCAAGTTCCCCCCTTTTTTTTTTTTTTTTTTTTTTTTTTTTTTTTTTTTTTTTTTTTTTTTTTTTTTTTATGAAATCTTTAACAAATTAAAATCCCCTTATTCAAAATGAACAAGTATGAAAAGATAAGAGACATAGGGAAGGGAAACTACGGAAATACAATACTTGTCCGTGATAAAAAGAATGACCAGTAAGTTTTTTTTTTTTTTTTTTTTTTCCTGTGCGATAAGGATAACGACGTGCGAAAATGAAATGCAAAGGGAATCTACATGTGTACATCATCTGTCGTTGTGTGACACTATAAATAGAAGTGGTATCAGCGTGTGTCCATGAAGGTTTGGCATCTTCACAACTCGTCTCTCATCACAATGACTCATCACAATTGAACACAAACTATGTGCGCCCTTTCTCCTAAGTTACGTGATGAAAATAATAAACATATCCCAGATGTCCCCAAAGGAAAAAAGACAGTGCTTGAAGGAAGTTGAAGTATCATCTCAGAGAAAAATAAAATGAAAGTTCCAAATGAGTAGACGCAGATGTGTGTACTTATTATATACATATGAACATGTACATGCTATATACACGTACGCTTGTACAGGTTATATACACATAAGCATGTACATATTACATACATGTGCAATTCTCAGCTTCTCTCGAAGTTAAACCATCCATTCATAGTAAAATACATCGAAAGCTACATAGAAGGTGACACACTGCGAATTGTTATGAAGCACTGTAAAGGTGAATAAAATGGAAAAATTTAGAAATAGATTTAACCTAACTACGTTGGGAAAAAAAAGAGGAGAGAAAAAAAAAGAGAAACAGTAGAAAAAAAATAAGAGAAAAAATATGAGAAAAAATATGAGAAGAAATAGAGAAAAAGTAGAGAAAAAGTAGAGTAAAAGTAGGGAGAAAAAAAAGGGGAAAATAAAAATTCACTTTTTATTTATTTACCTACTTTTCCCTTTCGATTTCCTCATTTTTTTAAGGTGGAGATCTTTACCACTATATACAGAATAAGAAAAAACAGAACACCCCCATAAAGGAAAAGCGAATATTAATATGGCTCACTCAAATTTTGACAGCCCTTAAATTCCTGCATTCTAACCACATTTTGCATAGAGGTTAAGTTCTTGTCGTTATGTAATGAGACAAGCGTGAAAGAAAAGGCGGGGCCGTGAGTCAGCGCGCTCGCACGTGAACATGTGGATGTTCCCACATTTTCACATTTTCACATTTGCACAATCATGCAATGACGCTTAAATGCGAACCCCACACATGGCAGATATGAAGTCTCTAAACATCCTGATCGACAATGACAAGAGAGTCCGACTGTGTGACTTTGGAATTTCGAAGGTCCTGGAAAATACACTAGACTATGCTAATACATTGATTGGAACTCCTTATTACTTAAGCCCTGAATTATGCAAAGACAAAAAGTATAGTTGGCCCTCAGATGTATGGGCTACTGGTTGTCTCATATACGAACTAGCAACATTCAGAACTCCTTTTCACTCCACCAAAGGGATTCAACAGCTGTGTTACAACATCAGATATGCACCAGTAAGCGATGAAAGATGTGTATATATCATCGTTTATATGCGCCCCTATGGGTTCCGTTTTGCTTCTATTTCTCCCCTTTTAATGATTAGCACGTTTATGGGGGTTATCCTACCCTAGCTTGTCCTGTTCAGTTCTTTTATGTTATGTTATTCTCTTTTCTGCTCAGTTATGTTATCTGTTTTTTTTTTTTTTTTTTTTTTTTTTTATTTCCCGCCTTTCTTACAGATTCCTGATCTGCCAAATATATATTCGAAAGAGTTGAATAATATTTACAAGAGTATGTTGATACGGGAGCCAAACTTTAGGGCCACAGTGCAGCAGCTGCTCGTGTCTGACATTGTGCAGGTGAGATTATAAAAAGGAAAGAAGAAGGAAAAATTGGGAAACGCAAAAAAAAAAAAAAAAAAACGCCTACAATCAATATAAGAGACAGATTGAGAAGAAGGGAAAGACAAAAAAAAAAAAAAATAAAATAAAATAAAACACATGCTCCATCACCCCATCTCACCTATCAAATGCAGAGACAACTGAAATTACTAATTGAAGAAAAAATACGAGAAAAGCAAAGTATGAAAAAACCGGTGAAAGAAAAACCGACGGTTGAAAATGAAAACTCAGGTGCAAACGAGCAAGAAGTTAAAACATTACTTCTAGACATTGTGGATATTTGAAACATTATGTTTCCTATATCTCTCTTTTTACAACACACCCTAAGTTTGAATTCCTCGCTACCCATATGTACTTGAAGGTATTGCCCATTACAAGTCCCATGCACAACCATTATCTTTTATGTATCCTCTAGGGAGAAAGGAAAAAAAAAAAAAAAAAAAAAAAATATATATATATATATATATATATATATATATATATATATATTTTACGTACACACTTGTTTTCATACCAGTCGTGTAATCTTTTTTGCGAAAATGTGAACTCATAATCAAGTGTAAGAAGTGAATTTCTTCTTCACGCATACTACACACACATAGGTGATGCTTCTTAAAAAAAAAAACAAAAGTGTCTAAATTTGGATAGAGGCAATACAAAAATTTGTGCAATTAATGCTACGTTTATGTTGGGGCTATAAAATGTGTTGTTAATTTTTTTTTTTTTTTTTCCATAGACATGTTACTCAATAATTATCACAAAATTGTGTAAATAGCTTGTTCCATTTTTGCTCCTCCCCTTTTTTATGCATAAATCATTTCATACATATTTTCACATAACACACTTGGGATGCTGCCAACTCTTAATTTTTTTGTTAATTCCAAACAGGTATATGAATGTGTTATATGTGTGCATTTATGTATACTTGAGACTTACACGTATAGGGTTGGCAGTATTGGAAGTATTTTTTTTTTTTTTTATGGTCATGAAAATGAGAAGGAATTTTCAATGTTGTATATCAGAACAGGTGAAGTTAATCAGAACACACATATGATAGAACTCCCGGGAAAAATGGAACACTTTCGTGAGTTTCATATTTTTTTTTTTTTTTTTTTACTTTTTCTGCTGAGAAACAACAGGAGGTTTGAACGAACTGGTTAACCTTCCAGTGTGAGTTTCAAAATTGAGTTCATATCATCATAGATTATACAACTTGTAGAAATGGGTATTATTAAATCCAAAGTTTTACACACATGTTCCTTTTTCCCTATTTATGCTTAAGTGAATATTATCACATCATGTTTCTCCCCTTTGTGAGTGAAAAGAAGACTTATGGGAAAGCTGTTTCATTTTCAGTTGTAAAGAGAGATTCTTCCTTTTTCTTCGCATTTTTTTTTTTTTTACGTAAGACTTCAAACAGTAAAAAGGGAATTGGGATGATTGAGAATATAGGGGGACAGGCAACAAATATGTGCATATATAGAAATGCATAAAGATATATTCTCTGATCATACTTTTCATCACGAAAAAAAATACACACCATTCATTGATAGTACCTTTTTTTATTATACCGTTATAATAAAAAAAAAAAAAAAAAAAAAAAAAGATTGCTCATTCTACTTGTTGGGAAGAAGAGATTACTAGTAGGTGATACGACATTTTACTAAAAAGATAATTTTTTTTTTTTTTTTTTTCACGAGATGAGGGAAGTCGAGAGTGTTCTTGAAAGGTTATAATACTATATATTGTCAAAAATGTATATAATGCATAAAACTTATGTATAACGCCATATATAAATATTTCAATAATGTATTTTATGTACTATGTGTATATATGATGTAAATATATTTATAGCTGGATTTGCCCTTTTTTTTTTTTTTTTTTTTTTTTTTACTTTTTTTTATACTCACGAGGGTTGAAAGTACACCGAAGCGCTTCAAGTGTGTCATAGCATCACCTGAACGTCACCCACCCCTGTCGCCTTTGGCGAATCGTAGAAAAAGGGTAAAATAATGAGGCAAATTAGTGAAGCAGAATAGTGAAGCAGAATAGTGAAGCAAAATGATGAAGTAAAGACTTCTCTTGTTTGTTAAGAAATTCCCCCCTCCCAAAGAAGGGAAGTTCAGGCATACATATTTCTTCAAAATGTAAAGGTACAATTTTGAAAAAAATATGGCATCTCTTCTAAAAATAAATAAACACGTACAGTTTTTTAAGTAGATTAATGTGTTTACCTTTCTTGTGAAAAGTGTTGTGAGATTTGGTACTTTTTTTTTTTTTTTTTTTTTTTTTTGTGAATATAACATTTTGTGGGACACCATACAGTTATGATAATTTTCCCTAGTTGCTCTACTGTGTTCTCGTGAATTTCTCCCATTCAGTTTTCTCCATTTCTGCATTTCTACCTATCCCTGTTTTTACACCTTTCTCCGCTTCTACACATTTCTCCATTTTTTGTCTCCTGTCCCTCCTCGCTCCTTCGCTTCCTGTTCACCCTGGCAGTGCTAGAGTTTTGAAAATTTTCTGAATAATCAGAATTTATTGTAAAAGTCGAAACAATCACAAATATATCTGTCCCCTTTTTTGCTGATTTTGAAAAAGTGGAATGTACACCAAGTGGTGTGGTATAAACCCTAGTTCATAGAATGATATGAAAATAAGGGAAGAAATGATCCTATGCAATTCCACGTTGTCACTACGAGACGTAGAAGGTGAAGATTGAAAAAATGTCCTTATTAAGAAAGAAAAGTTTTTAATGAACACATTATATACTTTCATCACACGAATGAAAGTGAAATTTTTTTTTTTTTTTTTTAACATTGTGGAACTTGTAAAATCCTTTTATTTTTTTTTTTTCCTATAAGGAAAAAAAATATGTTATATTTTTTCTTTTTTTTTTTTTTGGGGAGGGGGGAAAGAGGAAACAGAAAATTATAAAACGAGAAACAAAAAAAAATCAGGTATACGAATGGTACGAATAAAAACAAGAAAGTAGGGATGTGGTGTGTATTGTGTATGCAACATTTAGCTAGCTAGCTAGCCAATTTTTTTTTTTTTTTTTTTTTTTTTTTATTCACAATTATTTCATTATTATTTTTTTTTTTTTCTTTTTATCCATTCGTCAGGTATAATTCCCACCCCAAAGGATGACTATCTGATTAGTTTAAAAAATAAATAGATAAGTTAGTAATTCTAAAAGGTGCAAAGAAAAAATCTTGAGGAGAGGAACAAAAAAAAAAAAAAAAAAAAAAAAAAACCAATGGAGGCACCAGTGAACATAGACATACCTAAATTAATACTAGATAATGGAGGGGGGTTGATAAAGGGTGGAATTCTACCTAAGTATTCCCAACTAAATGATACAGCGTTTGATGAAATAGAACCCAAGTTTATTGTACCTAATTGTGTGGGGCAAATAAGAAAAAAGAATATATTTCACATAAGTGATAGTTGTTACAACATATGTGAATATTTTTGTCATCGACCACATGTTGATGGGTTATTGTTAGATTTAGAAATGCAAACAAAGATATGGGAAAAAATTTTCTCTTGTAAACAAACACTTGGATATAAAATAAATGATATGGCTATTTGTATTACAGAATCTTATTTAACACCTGCGTACATAAGACAAGGGGTTATTGAATTGTTATTTGAGTATTTCAATTTTGAACAGATAGTTATTGTATCTTCTCAAACCATGTTGCCATTTTCATTTATTGGTCTAAATTTAGGCCAGTATGATATTTTAAACCCACCTATTTTTAACACTTATAATTCTGTGATATCAAACAGGAATGATTCATTTAAGAAAAAAAAAAGAACAGGAGAAAAGGGATGTAAAAATAACATGAGGAGATACTCTAGTCCAAAAGAAAGTGTCAAAGATGAAGAGGATCTATTAAGGTATCGTTCCAATTCAGATTTGAAATCAGAAGGAGGGGATAGATGGTCCTTGGACGAGTTATGTAACAGTTGGGAAGATGGAGGAGGGACATCTCGAAGAAGTTCTACACATCGGCATGGGAGAAAAAACAATGAAAGAAACGGGATAGTGGATGGAGAAACACACGGTCTAACGAATGGCCCCAACAATGCATTTGGAGAAGCTACAAATGTGGGTGAAGAAGCTACAAACGTGGGTGGGGAAGCCACAAACGCAGGTGAAGAAGCTGCAAACGCAGCAGATGCAGCAGACAACAACATACTAACCAATCGTCACATCTTTATAAAGAATATCGAATGCTACAATAAGTACACACACAAAGTATACATGGAAAAGTCATATGATGGAGAGAATTGGCAAGAGTTCTATTTTAACAATTTTTTTCAATCAAATGATTCAGATAGTTATGCGAATGCAGGTGTGGCTAGATACAATGCCCCAGAAAAAATGGATTCTAATGGAGCCTATAAAAAGGTGTGTAACGGTGAGTTGCACTACAGGGAGAGCTACCCTAGAAACCATTTGAACAACACAAAATTGGGGAGCTTCTACTCCAGTAGTAGCAGAAAGGGTGTTGTAGGAACCCTTTACAACAATAACTACATTGGAAACAAGTTTGCACAGCAAGATCCTAATTTTCTGCTACCTGATGAAATTGATTTGCACAAAAGGTACTATGAACCCAATTTTAAAGACATTTCCAATTTTAGAAACCATTTTAACAGTACATATATAAACAATTTTTATAGCAGAATAATAAATGGCAATTATAATCTATCTTTAAGAAATCCATGTGCATTATATATCGATGTTGGTTATTCTCATACGTATATTTTACCATACATTGAGTATAAATTGATTGAATATGCCATTTTAAGAACCAAAGTGTCGGCATCTATTTTGAATACATATTTAAAAAATGTTCTCTCGTACAAACATGTGAACCTAGAACACAATGAACTCTTGGTTGAAAATATAAAGGAAAGAGCTTGTTATGTGTCTCTCGATTATGTGCGAGATTTAAAAAAAGAAAAGATACGATTGGATTTGATTAAGAAACAAAAAATTTCTGACAAACTAGAAATCAGGAGTGAAATTCTTAAGATAGAGCTAGAGCAGGAGCGGGAGAAAAACAAGAAGAGTGATCTTGTTACCATTACTGCAGCTGCACGTTCTCAGGAGGGACAATCAGAAGGTCTGAATAACAAAATGTATCAATCTAACCAACTAGTAAGAGGCAGCACAACAGATGCAATGGCAACATACGGACAAATACATAAGAAAAGGAAAAGCGAAGAAAATTATTTGAATGCAGAACATAATACTTCTCCCAGCAGAGTTGGAATTAGCGATGAAGGAAATTTTGGTGTGAATCGACTTACCAGTGGGAAGCACATTGGGGAATTTCCTAAAGAGAATCATGAAATAGAAGGTACACATGGTTCATGTGTGGAGGAGTACTTGTCAAGGAGAGGAAGCACGAGTAATGGTGGCCATGAAGGAGACTTAATGAGTGACTCAGACTTGGAAAAGTGCAGAGGCGAGCGAAAAAGAAAAGGAGAAAAAGAGGGAGAAAAAGAGGGAGAAAAAGAGGGAGAAAAAGAGGGAGAAAAAGAGAGAGAAAAAGAGAGAGAAAAAGAGAGAGAAAAAAAGGGAGAAAAAAAGGGAAAAAAAAAGGGAGAAAAAAAGGGAGAAAAAAAGCGCGTGGAACCACATTTGCTCTACAAGTACAAGCTAATAGACTACAACAATGCAACGAAAAGAGAAATCAATGAAGTGTATGATACTTTGAAAAAGAATTGCACTAACGAATGTATATATGTGGAATCTGATTATGATTATAAGATGGAATTTGCAAATTACAGGGATGATAAGAGCGATGACAATGAGATGTTGATGACCGATTTGAATGTGAAAGGTAGATACACAGAAAAAGAAAAGAAAGACGATGTCATTAATTTGACAAACGAACGTATTGGTATACCAGAAGTGTTATTTAATCCCCAAGATATAAATCTACAACATTGTAGTATTGTCGAATTAATTTATAGATGTATATCTCTACTTCCAAAGGAAATTCAGAAATATTTTTTGGCCCAGATTTATATTTCAGGTGGATCCACAAAATTTAAAAATTTCAAGCACAGGTTGTATAAGGAACTTCGTGCTATTTTTCCAACTGAATGGGAGATCAACATATATTCGCACAGTAACAGCCTGTACAGCAATTATATTGGAACTTACGTATGGCTTAGTGATCAAAACATATACAACTACAATGTTATTACGAGGCACCAGTATTTCAATCACGGCAAGAATACCTAATATGGATCATGTGAAGAACGTCTTTTCGATGGATTCAGTTGGGAAAATTCATTATGATCGATCCATCACGTCGTCACTGTTGCTGAGAGAGCCTATCCTGAGAAAGAGTTTTCTACTCTACACATATGCACCATGGAGCGTGAACAGAGAGGGTAAAATAAGGGTGAAACAAGATGATATAAAAAAAAAAAAAAGAAAAGGAAAAGAAGAAAAGGAAAAGAAGAAAAGGAAAAGAAGAAAAGGAAAAGAAGAAAAAGAAAAATCTGCACTTCACTGTGGTTTCGGTTCATCCGAACGTGGGTCACTTTCTTGGGGCTGATTCAAAAAATGGGGACAAAAATGGAGGGAAAAATCCTGTCGTTAAAAAAAAAAAAAATAGAACCTCCTCCCCCCAGTCACCCCATATTACCATTGATACCTCTTTCTACTACACAATTTTTTGCATTGTGTGACCGATAGAACAGTTAACAGAGTCCCTCATTGCACTTGTGCAGTACACACACAGAAGCTCTCTTCCTCTGTGTGTTTGAAAACGTTTTCCCAAAAAAAAAAAAAAAAAAAAAAAAATGAGCATATTTAATGCACCTATAAATAATTGGAGAAAAAAAAAAACAAGAAGTAACTTTTTTTTCCATTTTCCATTTTCCAGTAACGAAAAATGCAAAGGGTGTCAAATACACGCATAAAGAAAGTTGGGAAAAATAGCAATTTCTTTTTAATGAAAAATGGGGTGTTATTTTGGGTTCAAATTGGCCCCGTAAAACAAAATTGGGGACATTTAAAAATGTTATAACGAAAAAAAAAAAAAAAAAAGTGAAAAATGGAACGACAAAATGGAAAGAAAAAAGTGAAGACGTACAAAATGGAAAGAAAAAAGTGGAAACGTACAAAATGGAAGAATGAAAAAAAAAAAAAAAAAAAAAAATCGTGGTGTTTTGTTGTAGCCAAATGAGGAGCTAAACGTGCGATTCAAAAGCGAACCTTACGAGAGGGGAGGAGGGGGTGGGTATGCACTGCACTGGGAGACTGAAACTTTTCTGTGCTAACACACATCTGGATGAACCCATTTTTGCGCACCATGTGTGTGTGCCTACACGTGCATATACCTGAATTACATACCTACAAATACACATACACTTCTACCCTGAGGATGATGGCTCAATCGATCTACCCGATTGTACCTCGCTCAATTTGGAAAAACTCCCACCAGACCCCTCCGCCAAGTGCTCAAAACTGTCTACTTTTTACGCCACTCCTACTCGCTCCTACGTGTGTGTGTGTGTGTGTGTGTGTCTCTCCCCATGTTTGCTCTTCCTTATTCCTCTGAACTCAGCTTGATAAGTGTTTTCAGCTTTTTCTTCAGGGCCTCAATCATTTTTGCCCCATAGAACTGGTTGCCCACTGTCAGATTCAGAAATTTCGCATTTAACCCGTTTCTTCTGAAATCGACAAAGCTGATTTTGATAATATGGTCGGATCCAGGTGGGCCCGAGGTGTTGTAGTCTTCATAGCGCGTGAGAGGTATGATATTTTTAAAAAAAAATTGTGTGCTTTCATCTTGCATATATTTTAGAGTAAACTTATTTCTGGTTAAGAAGGATAAGTGCAAAATGTCACTTTCAATTGGGAGAAGGGCTGAATAAATATACATGATTTGAAAAACTTTTCTCGTATAGTTGGATAAATTCTTATCTTCTTTTTTATTTACATAGCTAAAGTAATTGTTCGTATCATAAATTATTTTTCCTCTCTCCATTTCCAAGTTTATGTATATTCCCTTTCGGTAGGGGGGGATGACGTGCCTTTTCTGTGTGTATTCAAAGTCGTACAGGTCGGTCATGTCATATGCTACAATTCTCTTCGCTTCCTTTTCGGGAAATTTTGCAAAATGTTCAAGATTTGGTTGGTTTGGTTGGTTTGGCTGATTTGGCTGATTTGGCTGATTTGGCTGATTTGGCTGATTTGGCTGATTTGGCTGGTTTGGCTGGCTTGCCTGGTTTGGTTGCCTAGCCCGGTTCGCTGCTTCGACCACGTTGGGCAATTCCATTTTTAGAAAGTGCAAATATTCCTTCTGAATATCGCTGAGTTCCATTTCTTCCTCTTTGATATTCTCCATCCCTTTAGATGCAGGTGATATGAACGCATTATAATCGAAGACACATTTAAAAGAGCTGGTGTTCCTTTTCTTGGTTGCGTCATGGTTGATGTATGTCTTCGTCTCTTTGGTATTCTCCTTTCCCCAGACGGATTCTTCTTCTCCTTCTTCTTTATTTCTCCTCTGATGATTTTCCAGATTCGCTAAAAAAAGCTGTTTTGTGGATTCATCATAAGTACACTTGTGAGTGCTACATCGAAACTGTGTTAGATGTCTCATGAAATTTTTTTCACTCACTGAAATAAATATGCTGAAGGAGTAGTTCTTGTTGACAAACTGGTTTCCTGGGTTCAGGGTTTTTTCTCTCTTCCACAGGCTTTCCTTTTGAGGATCACTTGCCTGCTCTGGTGAATTGGGGGTACCTGACACTTCGTTCGTTTTCATCTCTATCACTTCTGCAGTGTGAGAGTCCTCGGGCTTTTTAGTCGGTTCTGCTTTCTCGACACTCACAGGGTCGCTTTCCATATATCGATTGTGTCTTTTGGCGTGTACATCTTTATGCTCATCTTTAAGCTCATCTTTAAGCTCACCTCTAAGATCATCTTTAAGCTCACCTCTAAGATCATCTTTAGGCTCACCTCTAAGGTCCCCATTATGATAATCTTCATTTTTAAAATTTCGACGAAGGACTTGGAGAAAATTCCCTCTAGTTGTAAAGAAAGTTGGTACGTAGTTATAAACCTTTTGACTCTCGTTAATTATTAAGTTACTTATGGAAATGTAAAATGGCATATTGGTATGATGAATGGATGTTTCTTTCATTTTCACGTAGGGGGTATATGTGTATTCAATTTCGATTCTGTTAATTCTATACTGATTTATGTTTCCTTTGATAAAATTCACCACGTTAAAGCTGCGAAAAATGGGTTCATATTTATGATTCTGCATTTTTCGAATAGTATCGTCTACGTAAATTTCAAGTTTCGCTGAATATTTTCTACTCACGTTCAGGTAGAAGTTAAAAAGTACATACATTTGGTATGGGTGGTTCTTCCCTTTTCCACACATCGTTTGATTGTTGTAATAGTTTGTTTCTTCTGTTGGACCAGCTTCAGAAAGGAGATCCTGCGGGTGCTGCCCCTGATTCTGTCTCTTACTATGTTCTACGGTTGCATCGTCAGATGTGGCTACCAGCTCACCTTTTCCCCTGCACGTGAATCTATAAAGTGGATTCTGATGGAGACGAACATACAAATCACTTACAACGATTGGGTTCTTGAACTCGATGGTACCCTTCTTTGACAGTAAAAGAATTTGTCCATTTTTTTCTCCAGCATGGTTATTCGTTATGTGGCTATTCGTTATGTGGCTATTCGTTAAGTGGCTATTCGTTAAGTGGCTATTCGTTAAGTGGCTATTCGTTAAGTGGCTATTCGTTATGTGGCTATTCGTTAAGTGGCTATTCGTTATGTGGCTATTCGTTAAGTGGCTATTCGTTATGTGGTTATTCGTTATGTGGCTATTCGTTATGTGGCTATTCATTATGTGATATGATCTTTCCACTTTTTCACCCAATCTGTTATTTTTAAAATTTAACAATTTCAGTCTTTTGAACCTAACTGCTGGTTCTACTTCGTCATTTAGAACTTGCTCATACAAATAGATTTTTCCTCTTTCGTTTGGTGCTACAGCAGGACTAAAGGGAGATGAAACGAATCCCTGTTCCATGTTTTCCACCTCTTCCACATCAGTATGGGATGGAATTTTTTGAAACGTTTTGTTATGTTGGTTCGACATGTTTCTACTTTTGTTCCAACTTTTCTGATAAATTCTTTCCTCTTCTAAATTATATAAATTGTTGTAAAAATGAAAATCATCTTTCTGTGGAATTACATTCTTCATAGAGTTGTTTGCACTAGCCATTAGTGCCTTCTTCCTAGCTGTGGTGAGGGTCTCCTCCATATGGTTTTTATAACTATTTTGTGGGCCATAATTCCACATTCCCTTGAAAAGTAAACTAGATGTTATACTCGTGTTAAGATAATGAAGACGAATTTTATTATTCATGTAAAGTTCGCTATAGCATACATCTAATTTAAATAAAAAATTGAGCAAGTCCTTTTTCTCATACTTATACATGATCATTACACTTTTGCATATACCATTATAATTTAAATGCAATTTGTATATGTTTTTCATGAACCAATAATTTTTATACGTCTTTATATTTTTTAACGGATTTGTAGACAAGATATTAGAAACGGATTTATTTAAATTCATTTTTTCCCACTCTTTGGATAACTTGCTATAGGGCAATTTTAAAATTTCATCTTTTGATTTGTTTCTACTTTGGATTTCTTCTTCTGAAAATGTCACATGGTTTGTTCTGTCATTCCCATTTGTTCTATCTTTGTTCAAAAAAAGGAAAAAATCAGAATTCTCCAAAGAGTGGAAGAAGACACATGTGAATGTGTTAGACATATAATTGTATCTTTCATCAATCTTGCATCTTTCTTTAGTACGAAAAAATATTTTCATCAAAAATGATATTTTTAATCCTCTATTTTTTATCAAAGGCCATTGTGAATCTATTTTTTTTCCTTTCATATTTTCCTCCTTTGCACATATTCCTATATTCATACTTTTGTTATTATTTAAAATTTCATTAAAATTTTTTTTTTCCAATTTTATATTTAATTCTTTTAAAATTTGGCTTATAATGCTGAGGTTACGATTTTTTTCATCTCTCGATCTATTCGTTCCATACTTTTGGTTCACCATTGGTTTAAAAATATTATTTATTTTCTGATTCCCTTCAACATGTTGATTGTTAAGTATTTTTTTTATCTTATCAGTAGTTTCATAAGTATTACTGTTCCTTTGTTGAATTGTCAAGAGGTTACTATGTGATGCGTGTAAAAATGCATTATCTTCTCTATATGACCCGTTGTTATGAACAGAATTTTTCAGTTTCATATCAGGTGGCATTGTATTAACAGAGTCTGAGTGATCCCATCCTGATGATTCTCTATACCCTTGTGATAAATTGATGAATGTATCACCAGAAAGGGACTCATTATTATTGTTCTGCTTATTAATCAGGTTATTACTTGTGGCATCATTATTTTTTTCATTTTTTTCCCTGAACAGGTCAGAATTTTTGAGAAATATATAATTGGAGTATGAATTGTCATTCCACGCGTATTTAAATATGTCATTAAAATTTATTTCGTTAATGGCTAATGAAAGAGGTGATAAAAAGAAAAACCTCTTTGTATCATCTAGATGTTCACCTATGTATAAACCTTTAAATTTGTTTTTATTGTTACTATGTTCGAATTCATTCGTATAGTTTAAAATATGGGTTTTATTATGATCAATGTAAAACGATGATGAGTATAAATTCTTTGGATTATTAATTTGGTGACTTTTAGTTTTTTTTGTAAAGGAGAAAAATAAATCTACTAGCATCTGAAATGTTTTGAGAAAAATGTTCTTCTCGTTTGTCTTCTTCATTTCTTTTTTATCAATATTTACCTCCTTTCCGTTCTGCCATTCCATTTTATTTTTTAGTTCTTCTCCATTGTTTACAGTGTAAAATGGAGATGTGTGTAAATACGAGTATTTTCCATTCTCCCGTTCGTCATATGCATTTTTTTTTTTTTTTTTTTTTTTTTATATCCCTTCCTTCTTTTTCTTCTACTATTTTTTCTTCGATTTTTTGCATATCATTCTTTTCATCTGTATATCTATTTGCTGTCGTGTGTACATGGTGACAGGGTGTGTCATCAGAACTAGAGCAACTTGGTGTAGCTAATGTTTTGCTCATGACATTGTCGAATGATGTGAAAATGTTTTCCACTAACTGTTCAACAAAAAAGTCTGCCAAGGACGTATGAAGTACCACATTGCATAGCACGTTTGAAAAAAGGGAGATGAAGAGGATTGAAGCCACAAGTTTTAGTAGTGCCATTTTTGTAAGTTCCTTAAAGTTCAATGGGTGAAAAATTGTGTACAATTGGTTTGACACGAGTGTCTGTACTGGAAGGGGGTCTGCGTGGAGGGCTACGCGAACGTTACTTTGATGCCTCCCTCGCTGTTTCCCTCGTTGCTTCTTTCACTTCTTCTTTCACTTCTTCTTTCACTTCTTCTTTCACTTCTTCTTTCACTTCTTCTTTCACCGCTTCTTTCACCGCTTCTTTCACTTCTTCTTTCACTGCTTTCCTTTTTTGGCTCCTTTGAGGGCTATTTTTCAAGCCCCTTTATCTACCCGGAATTTTGCATATTCCACTGTTCATGCAGACTTGCTCTTTTCAGTGAGTTATATCCACTTATGGAACGACGGTAAAATAACGGTTAAAAGGGAAAGAAGAAAAAAAAAAAATAAAATAAAATAAAATAAAATAAAGTAACAAAAACGGGAAGATAAAGAAGTGGGGGAAAAAAAACAAACAAACAAAGTGGTGCTAATTTCTCAAACACTTCAATTCAACATAGAAAATACATTTATTTTTTGTGTGTGTAATGGGGCTAAGGTATATTATGTGCACACACAAAGGCCAAAAAAAAGGTCAATTCGGTCCTCGACAAGTGGCACTTTCCTGACTCGAGTAGAATATAGCACTTAGCGTTAAGCCTCTTATAACGCAAGTTTTACGTTTTTTTCCTCCCACGTCCACTTTATATTCCACTTTATCTTCCACTTTATATTCCACTTTATCTTCCACTTTATCTCCACTTTATCTCCACTTTATCTTCCACTTTATCTCCACTTTATCTTCCACTCTATCTTCCACTTTTTCTTCCCCTTTGTGTCACTTTATTTTTTTATTTTATTTTTTATATTTTTTTACATATTTTTTTTTCTTCTTTTCATTTTTACGTTTTTCCTGAAAGGGGGAGTTTCCCCATTTTGCGCAAACTGAGGCAGGGCGATTGCACTAAATCTTCCGCATTGTCACATTTTCACATTACCACATTGTTACATGGCTGAGTTTCTGATTTTTTTGGAGAAAAAAGGAGAATGCGCATGCCGAGGATAGGAACATGCGAATGGGTTGCTTTATCTGAAAAGTGCATGCACACAGAAGAACATTCATGCAAGCAAGCCCTAGTAGCGAGCCCTCGTTATGCACATGTAACAGTTACGTGGTGATCCACCCACATGTGACATCACTGCTTCACAGGTGTTAGAGCAGTGGACTTGCAATATATTTTTGCAAGAACAGAGAAATTTCAAAATTAAGTTTTCCTCATCATCCTGTCTCCAAACATAACATGCATGCAATCAGGAGTAAAAGGAGAGGGGGGGGCATGCTCCTTTTACTACTTTTATTTATTTTTATTTTTTCTTTTTAAGAACATGATTGTGTGCGCTATAGTAGGCTTGTACGTGATATGTTCTCTATAATATAACAGCCCTTTTGACATTTCACCGATTTGATTTTCTATTAAACTATCGAAGCGAGTTTAGATGTTTGTGGAATGTAGTGAGAAAAGTATGAACTTCCTTTTGTGACAGACCTTGCAAAAACCTTTTGCCACCTCACTTGTAGCTTTTAATTTCAAGGAAAAATTATTTATGCACTTTATGTATGGAAAGCTATAGTGTAACTCCCAATCGTTTTTCAAGCTATTTTTTTTTTTTTTTTTTTTTTTTTTTTTTTCCCCTGTGTATTCTTTGGAGTAAGTGGTTCAAGTTGTATCGCTTCAAATCATCAGAGATGGTAAAAAAAAAAAAAAAAAAATAGCTTGAAAAAGGGGGAAGTAGTACCACGTTGTTGTTTCTGTTTAATTTATGCATCTCTATAATTTTTTTGAAAAAAAAATTATTATACGATTTGGACATGGAAAATCCGTAATGGTGTAACACAAACAAGTTCGCACAACCCCCTTGGGTGTGTTATGAACAGATGTGTAAACATAAATTAAAAGCATTGTTTCAGAAATTACGTGTGCAAAGCTCAGGCAATGAACACTTTAAAAAAAAAAAAAAAAAAACAAAACAAAACAAAACAAAAGAAACTAACGTAAAAGAGAACCGTTGTTGCATAAATATAAAAAAAAAAAAAAAGAAAAAAATGGGAAATCAAATTGAAAGAGTAGGCAACGAAGGGCAACTTTGTTTGCTGTGAAAATGGCAGTATGGTAAATAAAAATAAATTCTCCAATTTTACAAATATGTACGGGTCATTTGTGGATCATTTTGCGGGCCACTCTTCAGACCATTTTTCGCATCACTTATTGGACAGTATTTTGTGTTTTTTTTTTTTTTTTTTTTTTTTTTTTTTTTTTTTTTTTTTTTTTTCATTTCTTTACCTTCTTTAACACGTAAGGGGGTAAAGATATAAAGCGACAAAGTGGTAAAGTGGCAGCAGGGCAAATGATCGAAGCGTGGAGAGCAATTTCGTTATTTTTTAGAATGACAAATTTTTATTACCTGTTCCTATTTTTTTTTTTTTTTTTAAATGTTAGAAAAACGGCTAACTCTTTATTTTGGCTAGCTATATAGTGCACAGAATTTTGGCTCAAAAAAGGGGGGTGAGATATAATACACGTTCATTTTTTTTTTTTTTTTGTGGGGGAGGCCCTAGATAAGTGACTTCCTAGATATGACCCATTATTCTGGGTTGTTTCAACTGATTATAAACAAGACATAGAGCAATACAAAGAGATACAACGCCTATTATTACATACAACACACCAAAGGAACGTGATTTTTCATTTATGAAAACAGATCCTTCTGCTATTACAAAATGCTTTTTCCCATGAAACTTTTTAACAGGGAAATTATTTTTTATTTTAATATAAACTGGTAATTTTAATTCCTCATTTAACCTGGCATATTTTTTTCTAAATTCTGACAATGCAGCTGTTTTCATCCATACAATAAAATGAGAATTTTCAATTCCATATCCATTTTTTTCATTCATGTTTAAAAGATTGATATAATTTTCTTTCATAAGCCAAAAATCGACATATTCCTTATACAATTCCATTTCTTCATTTGGTGGATTTTTAAATTTATTATAATCACTATACCATGTTATTGCTTCCTTTGATTCGTCTATTTCGATTTTATCAACTAGCTCTTTGTCTTTATATAATTCAAATGTGTCATTAAATATGCTTCGTGCTACTAGTCCACACGGATGTAGCACCTTTCCTTCCTTGTTCTTCGAGATGGGGAAACAGTGTCCCAGATCGCTGGCTTTGGTGTAAATTGTTCCCTGTGATGTGCAATGGTATGGCATGGTGTGCCGAGACGTAATGGTGAAGAATGTGTTTTAATTGGTCGTGATGAATTTTTTTTTTTTTTTTTTTTTTTTTTCTCATGATGAGTGTGTGCTGAAGAACTCATCGGTAGCTCCACAGTAGTGGGAACGTAACATTCCATTGTTACAGGGCTTGCACCCCCTCTTACCATTAATTGATTGTGAGATTTCGATATGAGGTATTTCTTATGATTTTGATAAAAGTTATGGAGTTCGTAGTAAATATAAGAGTTTTTCTTAAAAGGTCTTACAGGGCCATGGCAGAAGGATTCATCCACTTTTAAATGTATGAGCTGATCTTGTGGGCTATCCCCATAAGGTATTTTGCATTCTTTTCTTGTAGCAGAGAGAATAATAAACAAGATTCCTATGATTATAAAAATAAGTGAGACACTTGTGTATGCTATAGTCAACCCCACAGGTGTCCAGGAACGCTGTTTAGATTTCAACTCTTGCTGCTTAAATTTTTCAATTAGAGATGATTTATTGTTCTTATTTTTTCTCCTATTTTTGCTTTTTTCTTTTAAACTTTCCTCCCAACTATCACCATCCATTTTTGTTCTTTTTTTATTTCCTGATGTGGACAAGGTGCGATGGCGAGTAGTGGTGATGATTATTCCCATTTTGTCTTTCACAACATCTGGAGCTACATCCCTAACTGATGATCCTCCATTTGATGTTTTCCCATTTCTGCTTGAACCTCCGTTGAGTACTACATTTTCTTTATAATACTCAGCAAGGGATGATTCATTCGTTATGATGTCATTCAAATAATTAAATTGCTCCTCTAGGTTTGTAAAATTTTTTTTCTTCCCAGTGAGGTCGTCATTTTTTGTTTTATTTTTCCTACATTGTTCAGATTTTAATAATTCATCCTCTTTTTGTGATATGACATTGTCATTTATGTCCTTTTCGCCAAAAAAATTTTCTTTTTCCTGAAAGACCAACTCTCTAGACTTGTTTGTTTTTTCTTTTCTCTTTATCTTTTGTGCCATTCAAACTGTTCATTATATAAAAGTTGGTTAGATTGAGCTTTACAAAATGTGATTGATTTTTTTTTTTTTCTTTTTTTTATCCCATAGAATAGCCCTGTTTTGCATGCACGGAGGTTACACAAATGGAGGTTACACAAATGGAGGTTACACAAATGGAGGTTACACAAATGGAGGTTACACAAATGGAGGTTACACAAATAGAGGTTACACAAATAGAGGTTACACGCACAGGCTACTATTTGAATATGTCATGATATAATTTTTAATTTGAATGGTTTATCGCAGAAAGGTAATTTTGGCAAAAGCAATAGAGACCTGCAGACAAACATTAAATTCCTTCACATATCGGTAAATTTGTCCCCTTTTATTTCTGCTTCAGGAGGAAAATAACATACTCCAGATTTATAAGGGGTAGGTATGATGGGATAATAGCAAGGCGCTTGTCCGTTGTGTGTGTGTGTGTGTGTGTATACATGTTTGTATGTGCATGCATGAATTTTTTTTCTGAGTGTAGATATGTAAAATTATATAGCAAATTATGTTGTTTCAAAAATTAAAGGGTCTATTAAAGTTTGTTGCGCGCATGCACGTGTGTGTGTGGTCGTTAAGCATGTGGTTATTTTTGCGCAAGAAAAGGAAAAGATGAAGAGTAGTGTATTATAAATTACACAAAAATATGCAAGCAATTGAGCAATAGAGCAATGGAGCAGCTACATGATAATTTTTCATTAAGACTCCAGACCTTTTGCTTACAGTATGCAGATCTATGTACACACAAGGTATACTTGGGGATATTTTTTTCTGTGTTGTAACTAGTCCGTTCCTCCTTTGTAGCTCTCACCTTGCTGTTTATTTATGCTGCTTTAAAAAAAAAAAAAAAAAAAAAAAAATACAAAAATGGATATACATACATGCATACACATATAATATGTGTATAAATGTCCATGAAGACCACCGCCACCACCCCTGTGTGTGTATTTTTTTTTATATTTCATTTTTTTTTTTTTTTTTTTTTATTTCTTATCACAGCGACAGGGTTGCTTAATTTTTGCCTCATTTTGATATGCACAACGACAAAGTATAGAAATGTTGTGTACATACGTTTGTTTTGCCAATTATCCACATTTCATTTGCTTGATGGGGGAAGAATGTATAAAAAAAAAAAAAAAAAAATTATACTACCTTGTAAAATGAAAAAGGAATTAAAAAACCTCAACAATTGTGTTTTTTTTTTTTTTTTTTTTTTATTTTACTTTTCATATTCATGAATTTTGTCACGCCACGCGGTTTAGGCAAACCTTAAAATTACACATTTTTGGAACTCACAGATTGGACAAAAAATATTTCCATTTATTCATAAGAAAAAATAAAGAAGAAAAAAAAAGGAGGAAAAACTTAAGAGGAGGAAAGAAAGAAAAAAAAAAAAGAAGAAAACTCGCCACATAAAAAAATATACCAACAAAAGGGGAGGAGGGGGTGGGGGCGGAAGAACAAGAGAAGGATTAGGCAAATAACGTACAGTCATGGCCTGAACTAGTTTCTATCCATATATTCTAGAGGTCGTTTTTTTTTTTTTTTTTTTTTTTTCTTGCCCATTCATGAGAACAAAATGGAAAATAGGAAAATGGTTAAACGGGAGGGAAAGTAAAAAGGTAGCAAAATTGTGCACATCCGTCGTATATAATCCCCCGGTTCGTCCCTTTTTCGTCCCTTTTTCGTCCCCTTTTCGTCCCCTTTTCGTCCCCTTTTCGTCCCTTTTTCGCCCCTTTTTTCAAATTTGCAACATAGACCTAGGAACGCCCTTTTTCCGTATGTATAAAGTAATTACCCACGCTTCATTCATTTGAACGGGGTAAATTAAAAAAATAAACAAATAAAATGAAATAAAATAAAAAAAAAAAAGAAAAAAAGTTATTTTTACTTCATTTTATTTTACTTTACTTCATTTTGAAGGGAAAAAAAAAAAAAAAAAAAAAATACAAGTTCCTTTCAGCGTCATTTTTTTTTTTTTTTTTTTTTTTTTTTTTTTTTTCATTAGACAATAAACAAGGTGTTGCACAACAGTTTCATGCACGCTGTCACAAAGGTATTTTTACATAACCATGGGGATTTATATATATATATATATATATATATATATAAAAGGGAGAAAAAAAAAAAAAAAAAGATCTTATTTGCACATAGTGTGTACATGTGTGCATCTTGTATACTTACACATATACATATGCATCAATGTGTGATGGCATTTTTAAATGGAAGTTGGTACATGAGACCCAATGAACCACCACAACCTTCCTTCTTCTGTGTATATCCCCTTCACCCTGTCTTAACTCACTTGAGGAGAATTCCATCAAATTTTGTTTGGAACCACTTCATGGCTTCATCCTTCGTAACTTTGTGTGTTTTTGAAATGGTTGATCGCTTTCTTCTCCTTTTACTGACTCTGTATCCTGGTCTTGACAAGTGAACATAAAAATCCATACCATAAATACCTGTAGATGGATCATATTTAATTCCTAAATCGATATGTTCTTGAATACCAAATCCAAAGTTACCTGTATCGGAGAAATTTTTTCTTCTCAATTCATATTCTTTAACTTTTAATCCTTTTTCTAGAATTTCCAGTGCTTTCTTTCCTCTTACTGTTACGAAGCATGATATTTTTTCATTTCTTCTAACCCCAAAGGATCTTATGGTGAATCTACATTTTCCAAAAATTGGTTTCTGCTCCGTTAGCTGTTCGAGAACTCTGGCAGCTCTGGTTAGCCTATCACCTGACTGCAGCAAGGGAGGAAACAAAAGAGAGAGAGAGAGAGAAAAAAAAAAAAAATTAAAAGTGAATAAAAAAAATGGCAGTTTATAAAATGGGAAACAATTTTGACAATAGATATGTTCCCTGCTGTGCTGAAATGAGATGATGATTTAAAACACATTCACACGGGAACAGCATTGATAATTCGGATTCATCTGCTGTTCCATCACATGTCTGCACAGCTTTGGGGGCGTCTTTTCTTGTTACCTCTCCGACACAAATGTTAAGGACTAACTTATTAACCTTAATTTCCCGCATGACATTATCTTCCTTTTTCTCCATCTTACTCGAAGGTTGAAAATTATTACTTTTGAGACTCAAACACAAATAGGGTTGTTCAGTCGGTACAATCGATTAGACCTGTTCTGCGTGTGGAGCTATAACGAGTCCGTTTTTTTTTTTTTTTTTCACGTTATAAAAAAAAGAAAAAAAAAAAAAAAAATCTATTCAGGGGAGGTGGGGGCAAAAGTGCTTAATGTTGCTGATACGGCTGATATGGCTGATATGGCTGATATGGCTGATACGGCTGATATGGCTGATATGGTAAATTGTCGCCACTTAAAAAAAGAGTAACTTCTCTTGATTAGGATATTCAATGGATCGGCTTGTGTTTTTGTTGCATATCAAATTTGTTTCATTGTACATTTGGATTTTTTCTGTTTTCATTTTTTTCCCTTTTTCTAATTCTCCCCAAAATAATAAATTTGGATTTTTCTTCAAAGAAAAAAGGAAAAACGGAGAAGGCAGGGGGGAGGGAAAAATGGAAGCTAAAAAATGGAAGCTAAAAAATGGAAGCGCAAAAAATGGAAACGCAAAAAAACGAAGAAATGAAAAAGAAAAAAAAAAAAAAAAAAAAAAATTTGTTTTTCCTGTGTGATTGGAGGAAAAAAATAAGCTACTAATAACTACTATACATAATATGTACTATTATTATATACACTTATACATTGCTATATATGCATATATATACATATGTATATATTTACATATTACTACACATGTATACTCATGTGTTTTTGTTACTTATATATTGCTTTGCTTACATATGCTTGTGCATACTATGTGCTACACTAACTCCAGCTGCTCCTACTAGTACTATTACTACCATAAGTATAATATATAGTGTATGGATATAATTTTTTTTTTTTTTTTTTTTTGTGTTCGTATAAGAAAATACCTTCTTTATTCCTTCGCCTGCGCAAAAGAAGAAAAAAAAAAAAAAAAAAAAAAAAAAAAAAAAAAAAAAAAAAAAAAAAAAAAATAATATAAAAAAAAAAAAATATTTTTTTTTTTTTTTTTTTTTTTTTTTTTTTTTTTTTTTTTTTTTTTTTTTTTTTTTTTTTTTTTTTTTTATAAAAAAAATATTTTTTTTTTTTTATACATAAAAAAAAAAAAAAAAAAAAAAAAAAAAAAAAAAAAAAAAAAAAAAAAAAAAAAAAAAAAAGTGATAATTTGGGGCCGGTACGTTTTTTCTTGTTGTTTTTTTTTTTATGGCATATAAACCCAACAAAAAAAAAAAAAAAAAAAAAAAAAAAAAAAAAAAAAACACTTTATTGTTTCTTTATACTTGTTTTCACCTACACTTTTTTGGCAGAGAAGATTTCGTGTCACAATTCACGCTGGAGTATTTTTTTTTTTTTTTTTTTTTTTTTTTTTTTTTTGTGCCTTGTTGCACCTCCCCAGTCCCATGTTATGCACTTTCAGGAGTGGCGAAATATATACGTATGTATTTTATTTATTCTTGTAATATGATGGGTAGGGATATTGGATGGGTGTTTAGGGTCGACTTGGGGTTCCCCCTTTGCATATCACGTTCCTTTACTCATCATTCTGGACACATAAGAAGAGAGTAGTAACAAGGAGGAGAGATGAAGGAAAGTGCTCCTTTTGGATTTTTCTTTCGATCTTACGTGCGGTGCACTCTCCTGCTAGGATGAAGAAGTGGCCATGTTGCAGCAGGTAGGTATATAAAACAACCTATATATATATATATATATATATATATATATATATATATACACATATATATGTATATACATGCGGCGGGAGCACAAAACACTTGTAACAATTTTTACATGAACCCTTATCAAAAATGAATAGAAGAGGAGAAAAGGACATTACATAATTATGCATATTTCAAACAATCAATCGGTGCCCTGCAGTAAAGAAAGGAGGATATATATACTTATATTACATATTCGGCTTGGTTAATGCTTAAAAAAGATTCGCAATTTTGTCATTGCGCGCATCCCTATTTTTATGAAGCAGAAAAAAAAAAAAAAAAAGAATATATGAACCATGAAACATAAACGATAGACGTATATCCCCACTATCGTAGGACTGGCGTAGAAAAATGCTTGTATCTGTCACGTTTTTAATTTAAAAATTCTCCTTCTCAACAGGTTAAAAAATACACACAATTATCTTTTTTTTTTTTTTTTTATTTTCCATTATTATAAAAAAAAAAGTTCTACAGAATCAGAGGAAAAGGAAGGGGCGAGGATTGGGGTCAGGTATTTCGGTGACCGACCCCTCTTCTCTCTCTCTCTCTCTCTCTATATATATATATATATATTTTTCCCCTTGTTAACGCACCCGTAAAATTGGGTAAAAAAAAAAAAAAAAGAAAAGCACCAGCTCGTGTAGCATTTTTATTATCTCTACGCACTTGCAAAAGTAGGTAAGTTTAAACATACTGGCCTAGTCACCACCACATATAAATTATATCTATACATATTTAAATTTTTTTGTATTTACCTATTATTACCTTATGTATATGTATATATATATATATATATATATATATATATATATATATAGAATTATTTGGCGTTCCATAGTGGGTACAGCAACTTACGGTTCCGCCCTGCCAGTCCTGGCACAAGGGGAAAAGAGAAGAGCCATCTCTATCTGATATAAAATCTAGTATTGTTGGTGAGCTGGTCAGATATACCACCATACATATAATCACATATATATACAATATAGACTATGCATGTTTTCATATACATAATTCACTGAGCATTGTGCTGTGCTTTTATTTTCCCCTCCCTCCCCACATCATCATTCTTCAATGCACGACGAAGCAAAGAACCCAGTTTGTTAATCGGGAGGATTGTTTCACATCGGATTGTATCTGCATGTTGTGATATTCCACCTTATGGTATGCAAATAAACGACACAAATTAACATACGCACGCGAACAAGTGTATATACATACTACATATATATATATATATATATATATATATATATATGTACGTATGAAATATATATGCTGGCCACGCACTAAAGCCTTACCTAGTTCTCCCCCTCCAATTAGTTCGTACATTGACAAATTCCTTCAGCGAATTCGAAAACAGCACAAGGGAAGAAAAAAAAAAAAAAAAAAAAAAAAAAAAAACAGGAGCATAATTTTGTTGCCAAAAAAAAAAAAGAGAAACATAATTTTGTTGCTAAAAAAAAGCAGCAACGAACTTTAGCTTATTTTTTTTACATAAAAAAAAAAAAAAAAAAAAAAAAATAATTTACCAAGTTTTTACCATTTTTTCTGGTACCACATATATAATTACGGCCCTTCTTTTTTTCTCTCCCCTTTTTGCTTCTTCCTTTTGTTGGCCGTTTTTTCTTTTTTTTTTCTTTTTTTGACATACATTTTCTTCTGTGCGTCACTTGAAATTTAAACAAATGGATAAGAAGATGCTGCCTCATCACAAATATAGTTACATCCCAAAGCAGAACAAGAAGCTCATATATGAGTATTTGTTTAAAGGTAAGTCCTCCTCGTCCATATGTCCGTGCCTCTGAAGGCTACTACCCAATGTGTATAATATAGCATGTTAAGAGAGAGAGAGTGTTGCACAGGTGTTATGTACTCATTCGAGTATAATCCTGTGCACTGATTACCTCACTAACGAGCGAACTGACATGGATACTAAGACTCTAGTATACATACATGTGAAAATAAAAATTTTTACACACTCCCTCCCCTTTTTCTCTTATCAACCACACCACACAGAGGGTGTTATTGTTGTAGAAAAAGATGCCAAAGTTCCACGCCATCCGCACCTGAACATTCCCAACTTGCACATCATGATGACTCTCAAATCTCTCAAAAGTAGGAACTATGTTGAAGAGAAGTATAATTGGAAGCACCAGTACTTCATATTGAACAATGAAGGTAAAGCTAGGCATGGAGTTGCATCTGTATGTGTGGCTTCAGACGCATCTGTATGTGTGGCTTCAGACGCATCTGTATGTGTGGCTTCAGACGCATCTGTATGTGTGGCTACAGACGCATCTGTATGTGTGGCTACAGACGCATCTGTATATGGGGTTACAGACGCATCTGTATATGGGGTTACAGATACTTATTTGACGGACGTCAAAGCAGAAGCACCCACCCGCTAGGGTCGTGATTCCAAACATGGATTCATTTTCTCCCCAATGCGCACTCCACATCTACTTCCACCACTTGAAATGTACCACATTTGAAGCGCCACATTTGAAGCGCCACATTTGAAACGCCACATTTGAAACTCCACATTTGAAACTCCACATTTGAAACTCCACATTTGCATTTTTACATTTTGCGCCACTCCCCACTTTTGAAGGCATCGAATATCTGAGGGAATTCCTGCACCTGCCACCATCGATTTTCCCTGCCACTCTATCGAAGAAAGTTGTTAATCGGGCTCCAAAAATTGAGGAGGAATTTTCAAGGGAACTTAGACAACCCATGGGAAGAGGTCGATCATATGATAGGAGAACCTTTGAGTAGTAAAACTTCCACCAAATCGCAATCCCTTTTCCCCCCACCCTCTACAAGTCTCAAACCGTGTGTCACTTATTTTTATGAATGTGAATGTGAAATGTAAGAAGGTGCTTTAGATGAGTGTTAAATGCACCTTTGGAATGGTAGGTATAACATCCTTTGAGTTTTACTACAATTTATGCCATTTATACATGATATATATGCCATGCGATGGTGTATATACTTTTTTTTTTTTTTTTTTTTTTTTTTTAAGAAATAATTTTATGCCTGATTTTGAAAAAAGGAAAAAAAAAAAAAAAACTATAAATTTTATGAAAACATTTTTTATTTTAATTTTTACATCCACATGGATAAAAAAGAATTGTGGCTAGTAATAAACTTGATGAACCAAAAAAAAAAAAATATATAGAAGTGGTGTATAGAAGTGGTGTATAGAAGTGGTTGTGGGAGAGCAATGCACATAATGGATTGTAGTGGACGTGGAACTGGTTGAAGCTCTTTACTCTTCTATTATTTCACATTCCCATTTTTCTGACAGCTCCATCATAAGGAGGAGGTGAAAAAAAAAAAAAAAAAATTGGACACAATTGGGAAATGCCTCTTCCACGTCCTCGTCTACTTCCACTTCTTTTACGTTTATTTTTGACTCTCTCCATCGTTGGGTGATAAACATTTATAAAGAGAATTTTCGCTTGTTTTTTTTCCGTCCACATGAAAAAAAATTGAAATTGAAATAACACATCTAGAGGGAAATCAGAGAACGCTTTTAAATCAGGAGTAATTACCACTACTGTGTGAGATGATCCTTCTGGTTCTGCTTCTGGTTCTACTTCTGGTTCTACTTCTGGTTCTGGTTCTGATTCTGGTTCTGGTTCTGGTTCTGGTTCTGGTTCTGCTTCTGGTTCTGCTTCTGGTTCTGCTTCTGGTTCTGCTTCTGGTTCTGCTTCTGGTTCTGCTTCTGGTTCTGCTTCTGGTTCTGCTTCTGGTTCTGCTTCTGGTTCTGGTTCTGGTTCTGCTTCTTTTTTGCGAGGAGGGGGCCAGGGTTGGAGAAACCATGTGCATGTCGAATCTAACACAGAGTGGGGATTTGCACATTTCTTGGTAAAATACTTTCAAAAAAAAAAATTAGAACGTGAAAAAATAATTCGACACCATGCTGAATCGGTTGACGTTGACATGCTTAGTTTTTAATATGCTGGAAATATACTTTGGTTATATGTGGTTTCACGCATGAGGTTGGCCCCCTTCTCTCCTCTATGCTGTTTCCATCACTTCTTCTTCTTTTTCTTCTTCTTGCGTAGTTGTGTCTTGTTGTCCCCTTCTGCATCGAGAGTAATCGGCTGTGGGACAATGCGACCGGCAAGAATGTCTTCTCTCCTGGTTTTCCTCTTTAGATATTTGTTATCAATCATTCTTTTAATTTTGTCTTGAATGAGCTTATAGTTGTGTTCCTTTTTTTTGATGTATTCCTTAAAGAAAGTGGGGAGTTGGATGTCATAAAATTTCATTAGGGAATTCTTAGTCTTCTGTGAGAATAGCCTTCTTTCTTGCTTGTAGAGTTTATTTTGATTGATGATATTCTGTTTCATCGCGTTATAATTAAGTGAATCATGATATGTTTTTTCAAATTCTTCCTTGTCAAAATTATTGAAGTATTGTTGAGCTTTTTGATTCAACATAAAGTAGATGTAATCAGGTTTAATACCTTCCAGAAATTCTCTATTTTTAAGTCTATGCATGATTGTTTCTAATTTTAAGAAAGCATTATCACGTTTGAGAACAAGAGGGCATTTTTCAACATTTAAAAAATCGAAGAACATTTTTAAAATAGATGGATGGATACCTTGATTATTTATCTCACGATTTACTCTTATCATAGCAATTAGTATAGTAGTTTCATCTTCTTTTAGAATTTTTTGAACCCGTTCATTATCATCTGGAGGTGTTTCTGGGGACACTTCCTTTAAATTGCGTACAGCTATCCATTGTTTCCATAGTAACTCTTTTTCATACTTAAACATTTCTGTATAAGATGGCATTAAAAATCTTAACTTGTATTCAATTCTATAACAGAAATCATCATACGATATTTCTGGTCGATTTTTAAAAAGTTTATCAATAAAAAGTCTAGGTGTCAATGAATGACAACACAAATTTTTAAATGGATCACACAATTTCCCAATAAGTTTCAGTAATTCATATTTTACAGGATCAATTAAACCGAATGGTAATTCATACCCTTTTAAATATTTTGCTTTTATTTTTTCTTTTAGAATTATAAATGGTTCCTTTTCTATCAAGTGCATTGGGACAGGTAAGGTTGTATATGGGTATCCTTCAATTAAATCTTCAATAATTTTATATTTTGATGAATTTTTAAATTCAACATTTTTACTAATCTTGTTTTTCAATTTTTCTTCCCTTTTTTTTTTATTTACTATTATTTTCCCTTTTTCTTGATTCACTTTTTTTTGTGCTGGCTTTGATACAAACACTCTCCATGGCCTCACACCATGTTCCTCCTTTCTCCAATAGTAGATAAACTGCCGATTTGAGAATTTTCTGAAATTCCATTTTTTACAAATCGTACGTCTACTACCAGTATTCATCACTACCACATTGCTACAGCATCTTTCACTCTCCAAACAAGTTGGAGCTACGAATGAGAATGAACCACACCAATTGTCCTTCGGTCCATTTGTCACCAGAAGAAATGGAATCGTCATAACCACAGCTAGTCGTCGCAACGTCCCTTCAGCAATGGAAACCAATTTCCTCAGCATGTGTTCATGCGTGCCCGTCTCGGGAAGTTAGTCATTCCCGTTCTCTGCTACTGGGAGGAAGTGCCAATATGGAAACATGGCAATATGGAAACATGCCAATATGATGACATGCCAATATGATGACATGCCAATATGGAAACATACTGACATGACGATGAGATCGTGCATGAGGTGGTCTCCCTCTCAGTGAGCAGTTAAGTCTGAAGATTCGAGGAGACACATTTCAATCATTCTGGGCTCCTGCACGGAGTGTTCAAAAAGAGAAAAAAAAAAAAAAAAAAAAAAAAAAAAATGGAGTGAAAGTGGAATGACCTTCAATAGATGGGGAAGCGGCGAAATGGAGAAATGGCAAAAACAGATTTACTTTTAAAAGGAAAAAAAAAAAAAAAAAAAAAAAAAAAAAAAAAAAATGGGGAAGCTTTCTAACACGCACGCATTATGAGTGAAAGTCCAACAGTTTCCTCCTAACACATTTTTTTTTTTTTTTTTTTTCTCTCTCTCTCTAGAATGGGAGCGGTTTAAAATGTGGGTGCAGAGATATAACTACCACTTAGACTTCCCGAGATTCTCTTTGGCCCCTGAGGGTGAAATATTTCCAGTAGGAGATAAAGAAAAAACAAAAAAACAGAAAAGCAAAATTGAGAAATCTTACTGTTTTTGCACAAAGCGGGATTGAGTAAAAGTTAATTCCATTCTTGGTTTTTGAGCCAGACTCTCCCGTACATTGAGAATTGCTTCTTTTTTTTTTTTTTGCTCTCTTTTTTTGCTCTCTTTTTTTTTTTTCGTTTTGTGACTTCCTCACCGTACTTTGATACGTTCGAAAGTCCCTACATTCTTCACTCTACACTTCTTCATTCTACACTTCTCCACTTGTTCATTTTTCCCTTGCTAACGGGTACAACCAACACGCCTCTGATTCAGCATTGAAATTTCCACCAGCTGCACGTATGCATATATATACTTTGCTGCTGAAACAGGAGTGATAATTTTTTTTTTTCCCATTCGAAACACTTTTTCTGTCTTCCTGTGGAAGATTAAAGACAAGAAGGAATGGCAGTTAAGTGATAATCCACTACATTCCCTTTCTGTTACTTCTATGACCATCTCTGCTGCGACCACACTACCGTTAGCTCTACCCTCTGCTAGACACTTCTTTCCTTTTTGCATGTAAAAAATGAAGGATGTAAATCTTTGGGATTATGGAAAAGTTAAGGTGTATCTGTGGAAGACAGACAAAACAAGTGATAAGTTGTTTCATGAAATATGTAATAAAGTAAGAAGCCTGTATGAAAAAATAAATTATGACGACTTGTTTCATCACATGTATGGATATATTAAACATATAAATCAGAGTAATAATGAATTATTTCTAAGAATTGAATCTCCTATATGTACATGTTCAGATAACAAGAACAAGGAACAAGAGGATGAATACTTTTTTTCGATTTTTAAAAATGCAAATTATATGAGAAGAAATGGAGCTCTCTCCATTAGCTACATTGATCTTTCTGACAAGTCCATTCGTGTAGATCCGTTGAATTTTTTTTCGAATGTTTTTATATCTATTGGTATTCATGAGTTGCATGATGGAACAGCAGGAAGATCTCTTGGCAATGCGACCTATACAAACACGCAATCTAATTACAAGGAGGGGAGTGCCGATTGTGCTCTGCCGCTTCCCACTCGACAAGAATTCTCTGGTGAAGAGGTGACTGGTTTGTCTCATATGAAGGAAAATATAATCCATTTGATAAACACACACAATCACATATATTTTCAAAATAGCTGTGTATTCATACAACGGGTTCTTGTCATTCCCTCGTTCGATAAGTATGACGATTTTATCATGTCACAGATTATGCAAATAAATGAAAGTTTTCTTTACTCCAGCAGATCCGAACAGGTAGATCCCGTTATTGCTAGGAGCACTACATCTGGTAGGATGCCTGCAAATGTGAGAGAAGATGGAATGGAAGCACAAGAGGAGACCAAGAAGGTAGAAGAGAAAACCAAGAAGGTAGAAGAGAAAACCAAGAAGGTAGAAGAGGAGACCAAAAAGGTAGAAGAGGAGACCAAGAAGGTAGAAGAGGAGACCAAAAAGGTAGAAGAGGAGACCAAAAAGGTAGAAGAGGAGACCAAAAAGGTAGAAGGGAAGAATAAAATAAATGCATATGATTACATAATGCAAGGGAAGTTCACACCCATGAATAAATCACCGTATTACTTCTCAGCTAAAGAAAATAATTCCAAATGTAGGAATTCAAATGATCGGGCTGTTACTTCAGAACATGTGGTTCTTCCCTGTACCAATTTGCAAGAAAAAGAGGAAAAAGTGGATACTACTTCTTTTTTTGTAGATTCTTCCCTTAATGAACCTACGTTTTTTCACAATGATCTTTGTGGATTGGAAGAAAAGGATACTAGTTCTAAGATGGAAAGGGAGAGGAATAATTCGGAAAGTTGTGTCGCTTATTTTTCTTCCAATCTTGTCACAGAAGGAAGAAGTGGAGAAAAAAGTGGAGAAAAGAGTGGCGAAAGAAGTGGAGAAAAAAGTGGCGAAAGAAGTGGAGAAAAAAGTGGCGAAAAAAGTGGAGAAAAAAGTGGCGAAAGAAGTGGAGAAAAAAGTGGAGAAAGAAGTAGCCATGGGAAGACAGGAAACATGAAGAGAAAAAAGTATTCATCTAATTTTTTAAAAATTTTCAATAAAAATATTTCGAAGGAATACAAATCAGTGAATGTGCATTCGTCAAGTGGAGAGGGGGATGATGGAACATCTGATGAATGCATTTTTGATAATTGGAGTCAGGGGAGGAGAAGTGCAGAAAATCACATACAACTTAGTGTAGGGGAAGATACATCTAACATAGATGAAAATGAAAAAGATGTAATAAAAACAACACATCAGGAATCCATTTCTGTGACGTGTAAAAATTATCATAATTTTAAAATAATAATCTTTTTACCATCTGTGAAAAAGCATTTTAACATCCAGTATAATAAATTCCTTCAAGCAGTTCTTCTGAACGCATTTTACATTTTCATATTTTTTTTGCATGATATGTTGACAAAGGAAAGTATGTGGAAATACATGCACGAACTTATAGAAAATCTGAATTGTAATGCACGTAGGAGGAGGGGTGCAAAAATTGGTAGCGAAAGTGTCTTGGAAAGAAGAAGAAGAAGGAGGAAGAAGAAGAAGAGCCTGGGCCCAAATGAAGAATTCAGAGAAAGATGTACATTCGACACACCTCATAGAAGTTATGGGTGGTGGGGAGACAGCTCCAGTGATTGGAGAAGTTATATAAATATATTGAATGGAGTGGTGGGACATCCAGATAAACATCATAAAGTGGAGAAATTTGATGAATTGGAGAAGTTTGGAAAATCGGATACCTTCGAGAAATTGGAGAAGTTTGGAAAATATAACGGGACGTTCTCTGTGCAGCGAATAAAAGGAAGTTCGAGACGGAACCTGGAGTTGAAAAAAAGCCACAGCAGTAAGGACATCACAAGTAAGGGAATCTTGAACGGGCAAGGAAGCAATCACGACAGAAGCAATCACGACAGAAGCAATCACGACAGAAGCAATCACGACAGGAGCAATCACGACAGAAGCAATCACGACAGAAGCAATCACGACAGAAGCAATCACGACAAAAACATCTACGCAAACATTAAGAAATACTACAATGATGTAAAGTCAAGCATCTTGAGCAACACTAGCCATGTCACAGCGAAGGGGGATGGGTTCGTTTACGAGAGTATTCCCCGTACTTCTAGATGCAGTGCATATGAAGAAGGTATGCGCATGCATAAAGGAAATGCTCTCACTATGGTAGATGCATTGGATGAGAAATCAGTAAAAGAATCTGTCGTCCTGGATATGAGTGTGGATGGAGGTATCCATACGGTTGGACGAGAGGAAGAAAGGGAGGGTACACTAAAAACAAGGCAACGTTTTGATGAACCCATAGAATTGGGAGAATTCAATTCAGAGAAATGTAGCCATGGGAATGCAGAAAATAAAGAGAAACACACAAGGAGGGGAGAGAATGGAAACGGCGACGATGAAGAGGGTGACTATAAAGATAGTGCCGATGAAGATAGTGTCGATGAAGACAGAGCCGATGAAGACAGTGGTGATGAAGACAGTGGTGATGAAGACAGTGTCGATGAAGACAGTGCCGATGAAGACAGTGCCGATGAAGACGGAGGCAATGACAATTATCAACTTGATCATGGTGAGAACTATGATGAGGAACTTTCCTATACCCAGGGCAATGATCAGGTGGATGACGAGCTGGATGATTCTGAGGAAAGCAATAGGGAGGAGGAGGAGACATCGAAGAAGAGTGGAACACGTGAAGGAGAGAGTAGAAGAAAGGATAGCAGAAAAGGAGACAATCCGAAGGGACACAGGAGCGAACCGAATAGACGAGAATCTGAAAGGAAGAAAAGGGAAGGTGACATATTTCTTTTACTAGGAAGCCCATTAGACTCGATGGAGTTGTATCTAGAGTGCCACGAGTTGAATAAAAAACGAGATCATGATGATGATTGTGATAGTGACTGTGGTGGTGATTGCTGTGGTTACATCTATGCGATGGTCGAAGGGAATAGCTTGTTCTGCATAACACTATCAATGCACATGTACACAATCCAGAACTGGGGGCATTTTTGCAAATTAAATAACAATGAAAAATATTCCTTTCGATTGGCTGAGATAGTGGAGAATTTAGTTATCCAGACATATGAGAAATTACTTCCTAGTAAGTACATGAACTACACAAACTTTTTTTTCGACACATCATCATATAGTGGTTCTGTCAAAGAAAGATCATACAACCCGTATCTTCATAATTCTCATTTTTCTCTATACAATATTGATAATACAAATGATTCTTCAGCATTATCTAATGTGTCTAAAAATATAAATTCATTCATTAATGTTATTAACGATTATGAGAGGGGAGAAGAAAAAGTAGAAGAAGAAGCAGAAGAAGATCACTCGATTCATGAATTTGATGAAAAATATTTCTATTTCTATGACACTTGTATAAAAACACACAACATTGTGTTGTATCTAACCTCATTTATTGAATACAAACTTAGCGAGTGTTTATCTGCTATGAAAAAGGCATATATTAACATTCTCCATACTAAAAGATCATCTCGTGAAAGTTGTCTCCTTGAGAACCGATCAACTTGGTTAAACAATGGAGAGTTTGATCCGATACAACAAAGCATTACTACTGTGCAAGAACTGTTTTGTGATTATTTGATGTGCTACTTGAAGTACTTCCTTGCCATAAAGAAGAGAAGACAGATTTTTAGTATTGTAAGTAAGTACTCATGCATCATAGAAAGATTGAACTATAGTTTGTATATCAGATTTTATATGGAACTGTCTAATATATATAGATACATTGGTGCCTTCCGTAAGTTTTCTTTCGTAATATATCTTTTATGCATAAAATTCTTCACGAATAGGAAATTTTATGTAACATACATGTTTTTGAACAGCATTTTGCCGTTCTATGGTCTTCCCTACATCCACACAAATTTAAATGGAAAAAAAGTTGAATCGTCTAATATGCACCATACTGTTGGATTGGGAACTTGTGGAATCACTGTCACGAATGACGAAGAGGGGGACGACCACTATCCCTATGATTGTCTGAATAAGATATTTCAAAACAAATCGGAGCAAATGAATTTTCCAATTCGTTGGCTCCAGAAGGCGGAGGCGATTTCTCGCCTCAGAGTCAATAGGAAACCAAATGGGAGATCAAATGGAATCACGAATCGTAGTGCTAACCAAGAAAACAAAGACTACAACATTTTAAACGGGTTCAAAACTGAGGAGACAATCGAGAAGGGACCAACCGACACGTGCATTGGTAGAGAGGTGAGTGAAAATGAACCCATATCACTAAGGCCAGAAGCGGAGAAGACAACATTGCATGCAGGAGAGGCACACGAAATGAGTGAAAGAATGCAACAAGATGTGTATCTATATAATACATTTGAACACATATTGGAATCATCAAGTAAGCACAACTTGAAACAGATGTTCGTTTTTTTCTTCAAAAAAATGAGTAGTAAAAGCTTTTTCTGCCAAAAGAAGCATGAAGAAAAAATGAGCATCTTTAAAAAAAAAAGAAGAAGAAGAAGACAAAATTTTAAACTTCAATATGACATTTTGACATTCCTCAGTGAAGTTCTTAAAAGAATAAATATGGAATATGAATTCATCGTTTGTAGTTTGCTTTTATTATTTTTTTTACAAAAATTCTTATCAAAAGATATGCAAAAATATATTCTTTACAATATATATGAAATTCTTAATAAGACTAAGAAGTATATTTACTTCCCACCCTTTGTGTCCCTAGTCATGGATAAACAACACAAAAAAAAAAGGAAAACATACATTAAGATGTTAAATCAGGAAGGAAGCATAAAGTTTCATAAGAAATGCCCTAGTCATGGATATGATACTGAAGCAAACTGTATGTGTTGCAATTCTTTTTTATGGGATAGCTCATCAGAAGAGAATTCTTCTGTTTATGATTATTCCTCCTCATGTAGTAGTAATTATACTGAAACCGATTGTGAATCTGATAATGGTGGTGACGTGATAGGTAAGTATGAGACAAATGGAAGTTTTCAAACAATGCATAACTCTGTTATTCCTGATAAATGGAATAAGAATAACATTGCAGATGTAGATACAGGGTTTAAATCTTACAATGGAACATTCCAAAAGAAAAGTTCAAATGAAGAGAAAGGAAAGAAAAGAAAAGGTAGTAACAGAAGGAGAAAATTGCCAACTTCTAAACGATTGCACTTTCTCTGTGGATTCACAGAAGGTAAATGTGCACCTTCTCCTATATTATTGAATATGGAATATGTAAATGATAATCAAAATAATGAAAGAGTATACAAAAAGATGGAATTTAATAATTGTATGGAAAAAAAAGAAAGTAAAGAAGATATTTCAAGAGAATATCGAAACGTTTTTAAATATAATCCATTTAATGAAGAAGAAAAAAATATAAAGTTACAAAATATGTGTGATGTGAATGATGTGAGAAATGTAGAAATTACCTTAAAAAATACACTTTCAACCAACTTGGTTTTAAATAATGTTAGTCTTATTACTTCTGGAGTTCCGGTTGAGAATTACCCTTCCAACGTTTTTCTCTTTTCCAAAAAAAAAAAACATTTGACTAAAATTCGTCTATCTTTCAAAGCAAAAGAAACAGGAATTCTTTTTCTTCTTGGAATATCATATTGCATTAGTTACCTTCATTTTACGCAGTACCTTTTTTACGACACTTCTGTTCTTAGAAAATGTTTTATGAACGATATTTTTTTTTTATATCGTCATCTCGAAGATAATTCTGCTCAGGAAAAAAAAAAAAAAAAAAAAAAAATGTACAAAAATTATGTACATGTTCAGGTAGAAAGTGTAAAAAAGGAGGAACAACAACATCAGCATGAGCATCCCATGATGGATAATTCTGACATGAAAAAATGTGAAAAGAAAGAAAAGGAAGATTCTACATGGGGTACAAGCGATCAGAAAAAAAATGCACTCTTAGGAGATGAAGTCAAACCTTCTAACAACATTGTTAATGAGTGTGAATTAGACAAAGTTATGTTGCTGAACTATGCATTTAAAATATCAAGCACATGTTCCATCTTTATTATTGAAAATTATTTTTCTCTCAACTCAGAAATCAAGCTATATAACTTCAGCAAATATGTCAATGTACGGTCGATGGTATATGATAATTCTTATATGGATGAATTTATTGCAACTTCTTCATCTTCCATTGAAGGGAAGAGGAGGTTAATTAGAGATGGCTCTTGGTGGTGTAACAATGATTCTGAAGAAGAGAAAAAATCGGAAGGGAATCTCATTCAAGAATTGAACAAAGGATTCAGTAAAGAAAATGGAAGAAATGTTGTTTACGTTCACTCTGATTTGAAGGGTGACGTTCGCTCTGATTTGAAGGATGACGTTCACTCTGATTTGAAGGATGACGTTTACTCTGATTTGAAGGATAACGACCAACTGCGCCCCCTCGATGGAGACAAAACTGAAAAGGTAGAATCAAATCCAAGAATTTCCAAAACAGGTGAAGAGTGGAAAAACAACGATATAAGAGATTCTACATCTATGTGTGATAACATGAAAGACGGAACTCTTCAGTACATTCACAATGATGGTGTAAGAACTGAGACTATTGGAAGATGCAAATCACAGGAAAGATCCTTAGTGGAAACGCACAGGGGAGACACGTCCAATTGGAAAGGTATACATATAGGTGAAGAAAAATCACTCAAGAGGTCATCTTTGTCTATATCATCTACATCTGAATCATCCACTTCTCCAGCTTCGTCAGCTTTGTCATCCTCGTCGGTTACTTCTTCCACATGGTACGGAAGAAGACAATTGGAAGGAGGTAATAAGTCTGAGGTAGAACGGCTTAAATCGTTTAAACAATGTGGAATGGCTAGACTTGGAGGTAGGGAAAACTTTGATGAAATGAATGACAACTTGTACTTCTCAAGCGACGCAAGATTCACAGAAATGTTGGAAGGGGAAACTAGATTTTTGTGTCTCGTGCTGGAAAATAAAAGTAATAATGTTGACATAAATTACCTGAACGTTCAGGTAAAATATAAACATAAATTTCTTGGAGATTATTTTATAAAATTTTTTTTTAATAAATCGTTTTATATGAAACAGAAATTTGGAAATGATAATAATGAAGATGTAATAAAAATTAAAGAAGGAGAATCATTACATATTAAGAGAGGTCATTTTTTGTATATACCTATTAAATGTATTGGTTCTATTATGGTCAATGAGTGTGATATACGTATCATGTATTCTAGTGAAAAAAATAGTGCATATTATGCAGTGCAAAAAATGAAATTGCGAATCAATGTTCTTCGAAATATATCTGTGGACAACGTTTTTTATTTCCCTTACGTCAGTTTCAATTATAATGAGATATTAACAGAATTGCTGAATTCCAATTACTATAACTCAAGTATTGTCAAAATGTTGGGTTCTTTAAATATTGCAAAAGGTCATGAGAAATGCATGACAGGAGGTTATTATTATCACATGCCCAATGCTGCAGATAGTGTCATTTGGCATATAAATGATTTAAGGAAAAGAAGATTAAAGTATAAAGAAATTAATGTAGATAGTTATTTTGAGTGGCAGTATGGTGAGAAGAGCAGGAGGAGTGCATCTCTCAGGGGAAGCAGACAGATCACCCCAGGCCAAGTCAGTGTGGCAGTGAATTCACGTGGCAAAATTGATCCCATCTTGAAAGAGTTCACGTCCAACAGACCAGCGTGTAACGAACCAGCGTGTAGCGTGCGTTGTGAGGAAATCAAACGTTTCTATGAACCAAGAAAGAACCTTGTTATCTGTAGCGATAACAAGTACATGTTTCTAGAAATATACATTCGAAATTTCAGTGGATGTGTAAATTATTGCAAGGCAAGAAAGGCTGGAAGACGACCTACTTGTATGGTTGATACAGATGTGAACAAGAACAAATGGGTTCTATGGGTGAAGAGGATAAAAAGAAACAAGAATCTATGTTTTCAGAATCAGGAAGATGTATTAAAATATTTTTTACTATATTTAGATATTCATGTATACTTGTCATTTTCCACACATAATAAATCTGGTATTTTAAGTCTTTACAGCTCATACCTCAATCATATATATATGTATAAAAAGAAAATGTGCAATTTCTTTTTAAATTTACAAAAGGAGAAGTTACATTTATTCAATGGTCAAAGAAGCACGCAAAGTATTTCATCATTTTTAATGGAAGATCATGCAAGTTCAACTTCATTAGTTAGAGGCAGATCACGACCTCGCCAGCGATTCTCGGAGCATCTTAATGCACCAAAGCGGGAGACATTGCCCTGTCTAGGAGGGGACGATATGGTAAAAACTGAGGAATCTGGACGAGTGGGAGAAGCGAGTACGACCTCTCGTTGCATGTCTAAGCAAGGTCCCGCTGAAAAGAGAGAAAAAAGTGCAAGCTTAGGAAAGTTGCTGTTCAAAACCAATTTGATGAACGATATATTTTATCCTCCAATATTTATAATACCAAAATTTTACAACTGCAAAAAAAAGAACAGTGTTATCATACCCAAGTGTTCTAAAATACAGGATTTTAAAAATATGAACGAAATTGGAATTAAAAAAAAATATTTCCAGTCCAAAGTTGGGGAATTTTTTATGGTTAAAATATTCTTGAAGAACCTATCAGCACTTGACCTTGGCCAATACACGCTTTTGATATATCCATCAAATATGAGTTGCATAAAAATTAGTGGAACTTTAAACAAAGATGGCTTTCTGGTCTCTTCCACGAAGAATAAAGAACGAGATTCCCCTCAATCAGAACTAGCCTATACCTTTACCCAGGAAACAAATAATAATACCTTTAACAGTTACGCAGAAAAGATTAAATTAAGACGAAAGAAAAAATGTTACCTTTTGCACACCTTCCATGTATATTCGTTATTTCCAGGTAAGGTTTTATTTTACGTATGCATATATTTGCACTCATACCATTCGCTCCTTTTCCACCACGAGCCCATTTTGGTGACTGTTGTTTAGGGTCACGGAATTAAAGAAGAAAAAAAAAAGGGAGCTAATTGTGAAGAGGCGTTTATTTACACTTCTATGCCTGTACGTGTGTGTGATTATGCCTGTACGTGCTTGTGGTTATGCCTGTACGTGCTTCTGGTTATGCCTGAACATACATGTGGTTATGCCTGTACGTGTGTGTGATTATGCCTGTACGTGTGTGTGATTATGCCCGTACGTGTGTGTGATTATGCCCGTACGTGCTTGTGGTTATGCCTGTACGTGTGTGTGATTATGCCTGTACGTGTGTGTGATTATGCCTGAACGTACATGTGGTTATGCCTGAACGTACATGTGATTATGTCTGAACGTACATGTGATTATGTCTGAACGTACATATGTTTGCTTGTACCCCGATGGGGGGAATTGTGGATACACGCTCTTTAATAAGATACATGACTGCATGAAAAAAATTAAAATATAAAATTGAAATAGCAAAGGTGCAACACGGACTTATACGAATAAAATACCCATCTGTTAAAAGGAAAAGAACTCCGATTCCCCAGGTCATGTATCACTCACTGCAACAATGAGATAGGAGGAAGGGGAGCTGGGACTCATTTTGCTATAACTGTTTTTCTCTCCCCCCTCCCCCAATTTTTTTTCTTTTTTTGCAACATCCCAATTGGGTATCCAACTTTTTTTTTTTTTTTTTTTTTTTTATTTTATTATTATTTTATTTATTTTATTATTATTTATTTTATTTATTTTATTTTATTATTATTTTATTTATTTTATTATTATTTATTTTATTTATTTTATTTTATTATTATTTTATTTATTTATTTATTTTTTTTTTTGTTGTTCTCTTTACATTTTCGAACATTGGAACACTAATCATCCTTTGGTTGAAAAAGTGAATGAACTTGTTTTTTTTTACTTATGGCTATAATAATTTAAAATTGATATGTGCGACCGGTCGTCGTCCTTCGGGCACGAACACATACAAGTATATATAAAAGTGGAGAAGAAAAAGGGTTGACGAAGGAGAACGAAAAAACAGGGAAGAAAAAAAGGAAAAGAAAAATTACTAGCACGAAAGGCCACTAAAAGGAAGGTTTTATTGGTGGGGAAAAAAAAAAAAAAAAACATTTCACCCATTTTGGGCAGAAAAAACTTTTGACGTGTGTGTGTGTTTTTTTTTTTTTTTTTTTAAGACCATTGATACATAACAAGATGGATGAAATTGTGCTTCCTGGGGAAATCATCGGAATGTGCAATACGTTCCTAAATGGAGAAAACACATATTGTGTGAAGACAGAAATAAGATCTGCAATTCTTGGGAAAAAAGAAGTTAGGTTTGACAAAGATGGAAATAAAGTTCTAAGTGTATCCAACACAAAATGGTTCGTTGCGTTACCACAAGTAGGAGATATAGTAATTTGCAAGGTTTATAGAGTTACATTTAACATAATTTATTGTACCATCATTTTATTGAATAATAAAGTATTAAAAAATCCATTTAAGGGATACATAAACAAAAGTGATATTCACCTCTACGAAGGAGAATTGGGTGATAATTTCGAATGCTACAAACAAGGGGATATAATAAAAGCTAAAGTTTTATCGATTGCTCAGCATGGATCATACAAAATATCTACGGTAGGTTCAGATTTAGGTGTCATCTTGGCTCTCAGTAGAATAGGTTAGTTAAATCAAATCCATCAATCTTAGCATGTTTTCATGTTTCTCTTATGTTTATATAAATGAATATCTGTTGCACACATATAGGGGTGGTCGTGGTTGTGATCGTTTAGAAGGATTTATTTACAAACGTGATCTATAATAAAAAAAATGCTCTAATAAAGCAGATTTGCATATACAATGAGGCAAATGCGCATTGCTTCTTTTTTTTTTTTTTTTTTTGGACACTAGTCATATAATATCTCAAATGAAGCCAATTATGTTAACCCTCTCGTGTTTCATTTATTCAAAATTGTTCTAAATAGCTGGAAATTTCTCTAAACTGTTCTCTTTTTCTTTTTCTTTTTTTTTTTTTTTTTTTCTTTAACCATGCAGGTAAAATACTGAAGCCCGTGGCATGGAACCTGATGATCAATGTGAGTGACATGAGTTTCGAGAAGAGGAAAGTCTCCAATGATTTTTCTATTCCGTTTTAGCAACGTTTGGTTTTTTTTTTTTTTTTTTTTTTTTTTTTTTTTTTTTTTTTTCTCTTGTGTTTGGGGGGGGGGGGGGGGGGGAAGATATGTGGGTGGTTATACCTGCACCAATTTATGCATCCATGTAAGCCTCCCTGATTGCATCCATTTTTAAAACGTTTTTCCCCATTTTTAAAACGTTTTTCCCCATTTTTAAAACGTTTTTCCCCATTTTTAATACGTTTTTCCCCATTTTTAAAACGTTTTTCCCCATTTTTAATACGTTTTTCCCCATTTTTAAAACTCCCTTTTATGCCATTTCAATTCATCCACATTGCATATAACCATGCGATGGATGAATATATACACTGGGGCTGTAATTTAGAAAATTACATTAGTAGTCTTAAAAGGTCCGCAGAAACGGTGCTCTTGGGTGTGTCTGGAGATACTTTTCTAGCCACCTCTGGAGGGGATTCTATTATCATTTCTTCGATCGTCCCACTGTCTATTCCATGGGTCACTTCTTTAGATGCACCCTCTTTCTTCATCGACACGAACTGCAGAGGCGTAAATACCTTCTTCGAAATAATTTTTTTTTTTTTTTTTTTTTTCTTAGTTTTCCCAATTTTCCAAGTTTCATTACTGTTCTTATTAACACGGTCCGCTGAGATACGTTCCTTATCATTCATATGATTAATTTTGTCAATATATTCCTCATACTGTTTATACATGCTCTTAAAGGCATGGTTGAGTTGATCGTTTCGTGACATTTTTCGATACAGGGGCGATGATATCAAGTCACTCCATTTGAAATTGTTTTTTATGTATTTTAAATGCCAAAAGTGATCTCTTATAATATTTTTCCTCTTCTTCCCACCAATCATTTGGTTATTTAATGTTCTTACAGCTTTGATGGCATCTTTCTTTTCAAAGAATTCAACATATCCATCTTGATACTTAACAATACACTTTTTTCTATTTTTTTTTATTGTTCTTTTTCTCTCATTCTTCAAAGTGCTCGAAGAGGAAAATGCTTCCATTACTCCCTTCTTCTCCTCGTTATCATCATCTTGAACTCTATTTAAGTGTACCCTACAGACGGATCCATAATTACTAAAAATTTCTCTCACCTTTGCTACATTTAAACCTATTGGGACATCATACAGATATACAATACCTTTTCTCGATTCTTCCCTTTTGATGCTTTTCCATAAATTGTCATTGAATTGGAAGCGTTCGTCAGTTAAGCCTTCGTTTGTGTCGTCTAAATTTGTTTGACTCTTTTTGTTTTTGTTTATTTCTTTAGATTCTTCTTCCTCAGAATGTATATCATTATGCTGGAATTCCTCCTTCTCCTCTTTTTCCGCATCTCTGATTCGGTTTCCCTGATCCATGTCATTAAAATTCAGATTATTTTCATGATGCGTCATTTGACTCGTTTCTGTTTTTTCATTGCTACTTTGGTCCATTCGGTTGATAAGGAGGATGATGCGTAGAAATCTCAGACATAAATTTTTTTTTTTCCTCTCTTTCTTTTTCTTCCTCTTCTTTTACTTCCTCTTCTTTTACTTCCTCTTCTTTTACTTCCTCTTCTTTTTTTTTTTTTTACTATCACATGGGTAATTCTTATGTTTTTCTAAATATTGAAATTTATAACTATCTACTTATTTTGTTCAGGTTTATATATCATCTTGGTAAGTCCAACAAATTCGATAAAGCTTTTCAAGTTGATGGGGCCAACTCATAGGAGATCTGAGTTTACAAATTTCCGCTTCATCTATTTGAGTCAATTTTGTTTTTTTTCTTCCTCAGAGGGCGAAGAAGGAAAGAGAAAAAATTATACATATATATAAATATACATATATATATATATATAAATATATATATGTAACTTTTTTTTTTTTCTTCTTTTAGAGCCGCGACATGGGGATGATAGTGAGGAGGTACCATTTGTTATTTTTTTCTTTGCCGCTTTATTGATCCGCTTATTCGCTTATTCGCTTATTTGTTTATTATATATTATATATTTTTTTTTTTTTTTTTTTTTTAATATGCACGACTTGTGGGTGCTCAATTGGGGATATCCTGGCTGACCGTTCATAAGGATTTGCGATCATTCATAAGGAATTTGCTGACCGTTCATAAGATTAAGAATTAACCCTGTTGGCGCTATTCGATCTGTTTCGCTTTTCTCCTGGAACCAACAGGATGTTTAATTCTGATCTGAGTGGAAATAAATTACCTATACGTTTTTTTCCTCTCTCTTGACATTTTCTTATTTATTTTTCTCAGCTAAAAGTTAAAATATTCATTGAGAAAGGCAGTTAAAAAAAAAGAAAAAAAAAAAATAGCGTAAACGTTTGTATGTACATATTGCATGTATGTACAAAGCGCTCATATCCATGTGCGGGTAACTATATAGGGGACACATGGAAAACGCGAAATATTACAACAGATTGGTGGAGTTAAATTTCCTGGCTGAAAGTATCTTTTGCCAAAACCGAGAGCTAATTCTTATTGACAATAACTTAAATGGAGTTCGAACTACCAAAGGAGGGTACAGACGGAATGAAATGGAGAAAAATGTAAGCAAACTTAGTACCTACAACAATTTGTTCATAACATTGAACAAGGGTCAAGTTGGCGATCACCTGGAAAATGTAAGAAAAGGGAAAGGAGAGAAAAGAGATAAACGTGATAAACGTGATACACGAGATAAACGTGATAAACGAGATAAACGAGATAGGGGAACACGTTGTTCCATTGATTAACAGACGTGTGCAACCATTATGTCGTTAAGGAAATAAATAAAAATATATATATATATATATATATATATATGTATAATAAAAGATACTTATGTGTGAGGGGGAAGAAAAACAAGCGTAACAGGAAACTTAATTTTTTCTCCTTTTTCTGACACCCATTTTTTGTCTTTCCCAAAACACAGGTTGAGAAAATCCTTTCTGAAAAACGAGAGAAGGCAAGGGAAAAGAGGAAATCCCTAATTAAGGAATTAGTGAAGTTAAATCCAAGCGTAACCGAAATGCCTTTAGAGGAAGCCAAATTCTTGCTTCGATAAATGGTACTTATTCGTGTATATGAACAACAAGGCAAGTAAAATTAATCTACTGCAATGAGTTCATTTTTATACCTTAATGAATACTATTTTATAGATGAGTTAGTAGGATGGGTATAAAATGAAAAATCAAAAATGTGAAAAATAGAAAAAGAGAAAAAGAGTCAATTCTGTTACTATCGTAGTTGTAGTGAACGAACATGTATACACCCCCAAGTGTGGTGATGATTGTCCAAATGGAATATAATCCAGACAATATTCTGTGCGTATTATTTTTGTGTAAGCGAGAAAAAGTTTTAAGTGGATAGAAAGAAAAAATGATGATGATTTTTGTCATTCGCTTCCGTCATATCATAAATATTCATTTTTGTTTTTTATCCTGTCTTTTTTGTGAACGTATAAAAAAGTATCCATTTTATTTTTTTTTTTTTTTTTGTACATATTTAGTAAAAATATAGTAAACTAACAAAGGCTGCCGTCAAACATTAGGCTAGGTTGTGACATAATGAAGGTACACACAAAAAAAAAAAAAAAAAAAAAATAAGTTGTGTTATTTTATGAGGAACATCAGAGTGTGAGGTCGCGAAGCATACACACTCTGATGTTTTCTTTTTAATTTTTCTTCAATTTGTTGTTGAATTTCTTTCAATTTGGCTGGCTTAATTTATCCCCCTCCTTAAACGCATCCTTATTCTCCGTTACCCAGTGGTTGTCTCCACTCTCTTCATAAAAAATGACCCGCTTATCTGATAAATTCTTCCTTCCCCATTTTCGATTGGCATGCAGGTATTTCTTGTCTATGTTTTCTGTTGGATAAGCAGACAAGTAAAAATCTCGCATTTGATTGTAGCGCATTATGTAGGCTTCATCCTGTTGAATATCGCTCCTGCGAGGTGAGTTGCAAAAAAGGGGAGAAGTGGAAAATGAGGAGAAGTGGAAAAGGAGGGGAGTAGAAACAGGGAAAAGCAGAAATAAAAGGAAAACGTATTTTCATTTTCTTCCCCCCGTGTGCATTGCGATAATAATAGGGTTCGTCGACTCGCTCAGGCATGTTTCTCACCATCCGGAAACGTGGACCTTCGGGTTGTAATACCTCGTTCGATTGTAATCGGCGAATTCACCTGTGGGCTTGTTTTTGTTAACCATTTTTATTAACTCTCTTTAATGTGTATCTTTCTGGGATTAAAAAAATGGGGGAGTTCGAGGGACTCCTTTTTCACGTGTGCGCATGTATATATATATGGTATGTTTGTATGTTTGTATGTTTGTATGTATGTACATGTGTTTGCATGCATTCGTTTTATGGTCAGAGCAACTTCTTCATTAGTATTGACTTTTAAAAAACATCCTGTTGTTGTTCCGAGCGTGAATACACATAAAATTTTGGAGAATGGGAAAATGGATTATTTTGTAACTTTCATAATGTGTGCATATGTTCCTGCAGAAATGTCTGAACATACGCACTTTTTTTTTTTTTTTTTTTTGGCGTAGCCCTTTTAGGAGCTAGCTAAATCATTAAAACATGATGATTAATGCCATCAAAGGGAAGTATAGAACATGTGACAGTATTTTTTCTTTTATTATAAAATTCCTCAACCCTTTGCACACAATTATAGTGGCTCATATGATGGGCTCTTCTTTGCGCGTATAAATAGGCAACAATTTTTGAGAGATATCTCTCAAGAACTGATCTGCTACTACAATTTGTGTAACATGTCACGTTTTTTTTTTTTTTTTTTTTTTTTTTTTTTATATGACCTGTTCATACAATTCCGCACATTTTTATGCACATTTTTGCGCTTTTTTTTTTTTTTTTTTTTTTTTTTGCAAGCCGTAAGAAAATACTCCAGGACTAGTGCTAACGTGAGAAAAATATGTCGCAAATGTCTGCACAAACCTTAATTACATTATATTGTTAGCAGGAATGTGAAAATGTAAAAGGTTATACCATATGCCACACATTCATCAATGTTGTAGTATAACCCATTTGAAAAGGGGGGGGAGGGGTAAAAGGTTAGGTATGTAATTTTTTATTTCTTATCTAGAAGGATCTAAATGTTTTTGTTCCTAGGTGTGCGAGAGAGAGAGAAACAGACAGGCAAGCAGAAAGAGACAGATTGTGTATGTCGTGGCGAGAAATGTTTACATGAACTAAAAATGTAAAGGGTACATGTTTCTTACTGCCTATTTATTTTCTTCAGTGGGTGATATTAAGCCATTCCCCTTCGGTTTAGCACACAGTTCAACCTCACAAAGATTATGCCGTTGTGGGGTAACATGTACACAATATAGCATATATGCATATACACATGCACATACATATACATATATATATATATATGTACACTCACTGAGCCTTGTTTAAGGTATACGAAGAGCCATAACACCCCATCTCTCCACTTTTCCCAATTACACAACCTGGTTACAACTTGTTATCCTTTACATATGGAATAAGTTTGAGTGCTGCAATTTACTGAACACGGAAAGTTGGTATTTTTTTTTTTTTGTTATCTTTTTTATTATTTTTATTGCCAGGTCAGGTATATTTCACGATTATGTCCTTTTCTGCTGAACTTGTTAAAAAAAAAAAAAAAAAAAAAAACCTAAATAATAATCAAAAAGTGATAAACCTTTTGTAGAGACTATGGAAAAAAAGCCTCCTCCATTTCATAGTGGCCCAATAATGACTCTTGCAAATAAGCATTTGGAATTTTCACCTAAATATATGTGGAACAACGCTCTATGCGTTTGCAGCTGTAAGGGGTGAGAAAAGATATTACGGGGGTCACTTTTTCCTGCATGAATGTATGGCCATCCTACGTAAGAAAAAAAAAAAAAAAAAAAAAAAAAATTAAAATAAAATAAATAAAACGAGAAAACGTACGAAGAAGCGGCAAGACGAACATTGCGATTAGGTAGTGAAGCGAAAAAGTTAAAAAAAAAAAAAAAATGTCATCCTTGAATGGAAGTATCATTTTTGCCAAAAAAAAAAAAAAAAAAAAATACACACCCTATTGTGTGTTCCATCCGTAATAAAGAACGCGTTAAAAAAAAAGTAAGCTTCAGAAATAACACGTTTGAACTCACTTCATTTCTTGAATGAATGTGAACAAGCTCTCAGCCATTTCTATAGATCGAACCATCCCGATAAACCCAACAATCCCAACAAAACCAACCGCTTGGACCGCTGCTTCCTTGTCATGGTCCAGCAGGGGTACGAATAATTGCTTTAAAATAGAGAACCCCACATTTATGTACAGACCTACACATACATACATACATACATACATACATACATACATACATACATACATACATACATACATACATACATACATACATACGTACATACATACGTACATACATACATACATACATACATATATACATACATACATATATGTATGTATGTATGTTTATATATATATATGAGCCACAGGCGCACGTGCAGGAGGGTGGTCGAAGGCAGTGAAAAGCAGGAAAATAGACTTACACCGAATAAGAAAATTAAGGCAAAAATAATTAAAACAAAAAAAAAATTGCATGAATTTTCAATAAAATATCTCTGGATAAATTCGGGCCCCAAACAGAATGAGGAAAGTGAATTCGATAAAGGAGACCATGAGTAACATGGTCCACTTAATGCAAGTGAGGAGGAGAGGACTACCCTCCTCCCCCTCTGCATCATCATCATTATCATCACCATTATGGATGTCACTATTATCAGAAACATCACCATCGCCATCGCTAGTATCAGGAACACTATCATCTTCTGTATCACTACTATCACATTTGACAAGGAAGCAAAAGTTCTGCCACATTTTGAACAGAAGGAACTTTACGGGAAATGCATTCGCATCAGATGGGAGGAATAATAAGAAGGAGTTTTCCAATAATTGCAATATCGTTTTTCTGCTGGCCCTATTTTGCACCCCAAGTTTGGTTCAGGGAAAAAGGAATAATAAGAACAAGAAAAATATCGCTAGCTGTGCTAGTTTAGAAAAGGTATATCTAACAAAAAAAGAAGAAATAAAAGATGGAGAAATGAAAGAAATAAAAGTTCGTGGTGAAAAAGATACAGTATTATTGGTACATGTGAATGATAAATATTATTGCTTAGGTCCTAAATGTCCACATTACAGTGCACCATTGAGGACAGGAATTTTGACAAAAGAATATGTTACATGTCCATGGCATGATGCAAAATTTGATTTAAAAACAGGTGAATGTATTAATGGTCCCTCTTTTGATGATATCCCAAAATATGAAGTAACAGTGGAAGGAAATGATATATATGCATATTTACCAGAAAAAGTGGAACTTTTTGAAAAAAAAAAAATATGTCCATGTTCAGGTAAATGTGAAAAAAAAACAATTTTAATAGTAGGTGGTGGTGCAGCAACATTAGGAGCATTGGAAGAATTTCTAAAATTAGGATACAGTGGTAAATTAGTTATATGTAGTAAGGACGAGTATAAACCATATGACAGACCAACATTATCGAAAAGCATTTCAATGTACGAGTCAGGAGAAGAGTTATTTAATAGCATAAAATTGAAAGATAACAGTTATTATGAAAGGGAAAATATCACATATATGCACAATGTGTCGGTTGAAAAAGTGGATTCTGAAAATAAAAAGGCGTACCTTAGCAATGGGGACACAATTCAGTATGACCAAATTTTAGTTGCCTCTGGGGTTAGGCCATCCGAATCTGCACTTGCACGTGGGGATAGCGGTGTGAGTGGTGAATCTTCGATGGGTGCTGAAAATTTACTAACACTGCACAATTTGAAAGACAATGTAAAGATAGCTTCGTACGCAAAGGAAGGAAGTAGATGTGTAATCATAGGTTCTTCATTCATTGCATGTGAATTATCAGCAGCGTTGAAAAAGCGAAATGTAAATATAACAATGATTTCGAAAGACTCTCTTCCTTTTTACAATGTATTTGGTGAAAAAATTGGTTCAGTTGTTCTTGACATTTTGAAAGAAAAGAATGTGACATTTTATGGAAATGTATACCCAGTGGAGTATATAATGGATAGAAGTGGCTTTTTCAAAAAATCCAAATCTATACATGGTGTTCGATTAAGTAATGGTGAAGTGATTAGTTGTGATTATGTAGTGGAAGCATTAGGTTGTTTCCCCAACTCAGAATTTTTGGATGATACATTTAAGAATGAGAAGAAGCAGATCATCGTTGATAAGCACTTCAAAGTGAAGGGTTCATCAGACATATTTGCAGCAGGAGATGTCTGTGCTTTTCCTTACTTTTCCTCCACTGGTGAATTGGTTAATATATGTCATTGGAATGTAGCGATACAACAGGGAAGAATAGCTGCACATAACATGCTGAATAATAACAATAATGAAGAAGGAAAGGAAAAAAAACAGGAATTCACTTTTCTTCCCTTTTTTAACACCAACATTTTTGGAAAAAATTTTAGATACTCGGGTTATGTTAAAGATTATAAAAAAGTTATATTTGAAGGAGATTTAAAGAAACATAACTTCATTGCATACTTTGTAAAAGATGAAAAAGTTGCATCCATTTTGACCTTGGGCAACGGGAAGATGGCTGCTTTGAACGAGTGCCTTTCAAAGGGAAAGGTCCCTCGGCCCTATGAGCTCGAGGCGGGGCTCAAGAACAGTGACAGCATGATCTCCACCCTCAGCTGAAGGTGCTGCAGGAGTGAAGGAGGGCAGACGTGGGAGTGGAAGAAAGCCTAATACATATATGTATATACGTATGCATATACGTATGCATATACGTATGCATATACGTATGCATATACATATATATATATATACATGTCACGCCACAGGTGCTTATTCATTTCGTGCGCCACTTCCCCCTCCTTTTTTTTCGAAAATTTTTTTTATCGAAACGTTCCTGTGCAGTTCATATTTTATTACACGTTTCATCAGCCCAGTCCGAATTATTTTATTTCGCATCACACTACTGGGCTGTTTATCGATTTCACTTTATTTTTTTCCCCACGTTTTCTATACATTTTCTATACATTTTCTGCATTATTTTATTCCATCTTGAAAAAAAAACAAAATAGCAACTTGCGACCGCCTCGAATGGCAATGAGCCATATGAGATAACCTTTTTATAAAAAAAAAAAAAAAAAAAAAAAAAGCCACTTTTTTACTTGGTACCTTATATATATATATATCCTATCCATCCCCACCTCAGTTTTGACACACACGTGAAATTTCTCTTGAAAAGGAAATATATACCTGAGTAGAATGAGGTTACAAATGGGATGAAATGCAAGGGATGTTTTATGCATGAACGAAATGCGAGGCTTGTTTTTGAAACCCTCCCTAACCCCAGAATGAAATGAACTCTTACACGAAACGAGAGAAGAGAGGAAGCATTCACGGGTTGACACTTCTAAACAATTATTAAAAACATTACATATGACAACAAAAACGGATGTGCAAAATAAATTTTACAATTAACGCTCAAATCGTGCTTCTCCACATTTGCATATTTATTTTTGCCCGAAGGTGAAGTGACTTAGGCTTGAAGCTGAGGTGACTTGATCTGGTGCGTGTTTTACCACCATACCGATCACACACAGACCACACCCGTCCATAGTGATTTTTCAGAAGAACAAGAAACACAATGTCGTATGCAACATGTCCCATATACCATGTGAATATTAATCAAACACAAAAGGAAGGTAGGAGAGCAGCAAGCAGAGGGTAGGTGAGGCCTCACGTGTGAGTCTTTTCCCCACGTTCAAGCTGAGCCTCCTTGATTCTTCAAAGCCTTATACATATTCGTCACACACATGTAGATATAACCATGTACTTACACACATGCACACCCCATTTGGCACCAACCTCAGATTTACTTCGATTTGAAAGTTCAGCCGTTGACAATTACAAACAGTACAGGGCAGTTGAGATACACTCCAGGAGTAAGTCTGCAAAAACCTTACACGACACAGGCACGGTGAACTTATGCCGAGAGGTCGAGAGGTCGAAAGGTCAAGAGGTCGAAAGGTCAAGAGGTCGAAAGGTCAAGAGGTTGAAAGGTCAAGAGGTTGAAAGGTCAAGAGGTTGAAAGGTCAAGAGGTTGAGAATGAGTGAAGAATGATACACTTCCTCTTCGCCATTTTTAACTTTTGCGAATTGTGTAGCTTCCATCCTCTTTAAAAGTAGTACCCTCTCCCCAGAGAAGTTTCCCCGTAGTCTTTGCGCGTAGGCATCACCTCATAGAACTTTCTAACTCCAATTCTATTTCATTTTTATTTTATTGTTTTTCCACGCATCACTTGCAGTTCGCATCAGTTTAGTCATTACCCTTATCTCCCTGCTGATATTTGGTTCATGGAAATTCAGACATGACAGAACGGTATAATGTGATGTAATGGGATGATTTTTTTCTCCTTTCCCCCCACCCAACCTTCTTGCTCTGTTCATCCTTTTGTGCTTTTCTTTAAGCCACAAAAGAGCCTGAGAAATATGGGTTCACACATTTAGTTAGATGTACCAAGGTAGACACCACAATTTAACTACCCCTTGTGTTGTACTCCATCCTTTCATCCCTTCCTCCCTTTATAGGTAATTGAGATGATAAATAATATTCCCCTGATGTTATTTGTGATAGTCTTTTTCATTTTCTCCATAAAACATTACTATAAGAACTTGTTCAAATCTAAAAGGTAAGTATAACTAGTTCGCACACTAAGGTGCAAGATGAAAACGAGAAGGATGCTACTACGTCCACTACTTCTACCTTGAGAAGATAACCAATTCAAATTCGAATGAACAGAAAAAGAAAAATATTTGCATATTTGTATACACCTATACATATGTGAATAACTTATTGCTGCGCTACCTTTTTTTTTTTTTTTTTTTTTTTTTTTTTTCTCACATTCCCCTTCTTCAGCTACATAAGGAGTTTGAATAAGACATTGAAAGGATTCAACCTCTACCTTGATAATAAGTTAGTTTAAGTTTGTTCACCTTCTTGAAATTGAACAAACGTTAATATTTGAAGGTTTAAATGTGACATTTACTGTCATATATGTATGTCCTTTAATTTAGTGTTTTTTTTTTTTTTCTCCTTCACTCCTTTAGAAGTCTGAAGTTATGTGTTATTGGTGGGTTCAGGAAGGAGTAGTTCATCTCCTTATGAGGAGTATAAGTAATATTTATAATTAGAAGCTCAAAGAAGGAGCATTTTGAGCAGCATATATGTGTACTTTTTGAGTATATTGTATATATATATATATATATATATATATATATATATATACCCACCAGTTAAGCATATAATATACAATTAGTACAATGAAAAGTGCACACAGGAACAAAAAAACCACACATATATGTCCTTTTCCACTATTTGATGAGATTTGTTCTCCTCTTGTTGGATGTCACACCTGCACAATTCATTAAGCCATTCATTAGTTCAATTGTTCATTAATAAATTACATCAATAATTCTTTTTTTTTTTATCTATTTTTGGAGAGCTTGGGTGGAGATATAACACAACACTTCTCAATCACCACAATGCTTCTCCACAGGGAAATATCTGTTGCACACACCAGTTGTTCATTTGATTTCTGCATCTCTACCATCAACTATTCATAAATAGATGTGTTTAATTTTTCTTATGTATTTATGTGCCGCTTCATCCCCAAGTGTGCTGACAACCTTCTCCAGAAAATTGTATCTTTTCTTGTTCTTGAATTCCTGAAAAAAAAGAAAAAAGGGGAAAAAATAAACAAGGCCAAAATAAACAAGGCCAAGAAAAATCAAAGCAATTGTATTCTTTTGCACTGAGGACTAGAGTGCATAATGCTGCTTGCGAATGTGTCGTCTCTCAAGTATGTCATGAGTTGTTTTTCATTCTCATGTTCAAAGTGGTTATTTCTTTGCACGATCTTAACCTCGAACAAATCGTAAGTGCAATGTAAACAAAAAAAAAAAAAAATTCAATTCAAAGTGGCAAGAACTCACCTCCCGATATTCTAGAACCAAATCGTTTATTTTACTTATAGATTCTTTCATCCGTTCCTTCTGCTGTTCCCGTCTATACCATTCTTTCTTTCCAACAACCATATTATCACAGAAGTGATTTGTTCCTGTGTAAAAATTCTTGTGCCATATCCAGGGTAAATCTAAAGTGACAAAAAAAAAAAAAAAATAAGCTCAATGAATTCAGGATATAAAATCCACGTTTCGCATAAAAAACAAAAAAAAAACATAACTGCTTTGTGTGTGTATCCAAGCTAGGCACTCAGAAATGTATCTTAACACCCACCGTGCATGTAGTACTGCTTTTCTATGTCGGCCCTATATCTCCCAGAGAGTCTAAGAAGAAAGGAGGAGAAATAAAAAATATAAAAAAAAATAATTATTTTGCAATAAAAATAGGGTTAAAAACTCAATTTAGGTATGCATGAAGGGGAAGAAAAATACGCGAGGGTTGACGCTTGTTCGGATGGTTGAAACTTATTCAGATGGTTGTAGCTTATTCAGATGGACGAAACTTATTCAGGTAGTATTTTTTTTTTTTTCCCATTTTTCTTTTCTGTACTTACAAAGGGGGGTGAAAATTTCCTAATTCATCTTTGGTCGGTAGAATGGAAAAAGGAACGTCATACATTTTTCTGCTTCCTCTAACGTAACATTTGAGAGGATCGAACTTTTCCACATTTCTGTCGCATGGAGGGAAAAAAAAAAAAAAAAAAAAATGATATAGAATGTGGAAAATGATAATGATTACATGTGATATGGTAGCTATGCCTCCGGACCAAAAGTAAAATGTGAAAAAAAAAAAAAAAAAAAAAAAAAAAAGAGATGGAGTATTATTGGTTGCTACCTAGATTCCCAATTGTCCAATCGATATTTCTTGTCTTTGTTTAATTTGACATATGGGTTGAATGTTGGCTTGTATCTAATTCTATCATAGCAGTTGTATTCGTAGGCTCTCCTAGGTGTCCCTGTGCAGTGGTAAGAAGTAGATGGAATGAGTCGTCAAAATGCAGAAACATCGTACAGATATGGAAACCATACATGAGTAGCCCCATGCAGTGTTGTCAACCCTATCAAACGATTTTACATCACATGTATGTACGTAACTCATTTGTGAATGCATTTATATCTCTCAGACATGCATTTTCTTTCTCTACCTGAGCATTCGGACATGTATCGGGGCTTCCTCTTAAAACGTTCGAGAATGACATAACGAGACAAGTACGGGACTTCACGTAGTCTTCTGTCCTTTGGTTGGTGGGAAGAAGATTTATCAGCATGTGTTCACATACTTATACATATACATACTTATACATACACATACTTATACATATACATACTTATACATACACATACTTATACATATACATACTTATACATACACATACTTATACATATACATACTTATACATACACATACTTATACATACACATACGTATACATACTTGCACCCCTTCATATTGTTCATGCATGCATATTATTACACTTTGAAATGAAATTTAGTAAATACATTCCAAAAAAAATAAAAGTATTTGATTATTCCCCCTTACGGGAGTATGAAAAAAAAGGAAATTTAGAAATTGCAATTGATTCGTTTTTCTTTAGTTTGCTTACTATGGCAGTGAAGTAGGTTCTATGTTGTCCCTTGATGAACTGATGATATGCAATGTTCATTTTTTTTTTAAAAAAAAAAAAAAAAAAAAAAAAAAAAAAAAAATACCTATGTGTTTGAGGGTGTTGCTTCGTGACAGTTGTATTCTTTTATTTTCAGTTTGTTACTGCAATGTGTTTCTTTTCTCCTTTCTATGGTTCACATGATGTGCTTTTTATTTTCCACATTTTCACCTGTACACTTGTACATTTGATATTCCTGCTTCATTCATCTGCAGTTGTTGTACTATTTCTTTCAGACTTAGAACCGATCCGAAGTGACCTGATATGAACTATACATGTGCAAAAGTTTGAGTCAATTTTATAATCCAAAGAAAAATACTACATGTGAGAAATGTTTTTTCAGATATGGAAAACTTGAAGGAAGTGAGTGTAAAATAATGTTGGAACTAATTTTATCGCACCTTACAATTTTTTTTTTTTTTTTACATACAGCACTAAAAAAAAAAAAAAAAAAAAAAAAAAAAAAAAAAAAAAAAAAAAAAAAAAAGTTTAGAAAATATTTAAAAAAAAAAAAAAAAAAAAAAAAAAAAAAAAAAAAAAAAAAAAAAAAACTTTTGGTTTAAAATTTTAAAATTTATAGGTAATAATATTTTTTTTTTTTTTTTTTTTTTTT